TTAATTGGTACCTCAAGAATACTTGCGCATATTTAACGGGATATCCGGGCTGAGTTTTGACCCTCGGATAAAATTTCCTTTTGGCCTGTTATGACCCTCGGATAAAATTTCCTTTTGTCCTGTTACTGATTTGTGTGTCTCCTGCTTAACAGAAGTTCCAACAAGCTAAAATGTACCCACGACACATAAGGAACAAACGGTCCAACCACCCCTCAATACAACTTCTTATTTTGCTATCACCAGGCGACACATTTGATCACTGATCACTATTGTTTTTAATTATAAAACTTTTTTATTTCATAAAGGAAAATGAATGCAACTTTGCTGAATCAGACTTGGTCTAATGAAAGTGAGACAACCTTGCAAAACGTCACTACCACAATGGATGATGTAAAACCAATCGGGAATTCTCCAATGTCATCTATAGATTGGGAAGATGAGAAAAAAGCAATGTACAACATAGATATCATTCTTCATTGTATATTTCTAGCTGTTGGATTGGTTGGCAACGGTCTCACAATAGCTGTACTTATCTATAAGAAATGGAAAAACGTAACCTCCAGATATATATTGATAGCATTAGCAGTATCTGACACGGTCATGCTTTGCACTCAAACATTTGTATTACAAATGTTCACATTTAATTTCTTCATTATCTTATTAAGGGAACTGTATAGCATTCGTTTATGATATATTCACAGTTTAGTTCATATCACTATAATACATTTGTTTATAAAAACTTTGTGTGTATAAATAATCTTGCTGAGCAACCGTTACAAGCAAACGCATATTTGCCACCATCACCATTCATATGAGTCTCCTCTGACCCTACAGACCCTGCGTACTTTTTTGATACTATAAAGTAACTGAAATATAAACCAAACATTTTAACTCTTACATTCACCTGTATATAAAACATGCATTCAACAATCTTTTGTTGTAACTAACTTACCTAATACATCTACTCCTCTCTAGTATACACTTTTTCGTGATAACAACAATTTTATGCTAGCCTTGATTTTTTTACAACAACCTTAAAATGTAGTTTTTGTCAAAATCTGGATAATAAAGTAAAAATAAAGTAAGAAATCAAATAAATGTCACAAGTAAGGCTTTGGTTGACTGGTTCAGATTTTGTCACCCAGCAAAATGTAATTCAAGTACGTACAGAATTAAATCACCAAAAAGATAAATTAGTTAAATTTGTGTGCTGTTAGTTACATGTATTTCTTTTTATATTGTAATAATATTGTTCTTTCATAAGTCATATACATATATTATATATATATATGTATTCTATGCCAATAATTTGAAAGTATGTCTATCAAATCATTCAGTAACAAAATATTGTGAAATAAAATATTGTGCTATCTTTAAACATACGTTTTAGTGTTGTCTTTTTCAATATGTAAGCAAGAGGGTCATGGTGGCCATAGACTGCTACCTGTGACATCAAATGACATAGCTCGGTAACAAATACGATGTTCATGTCATCAGCATCATAGCAATAGTCTTCGTTAACTCTATAATCTTGTTAAATAATTCAGGCAACATCTGTATATCAACAGAGACTTCCTAGGTAATGAATGATGTTTGACATCATTATATTACCTTTTCTTATAATTGCAATATTTTTTGGCATTTTCTTCCACTTTTGAAGCGAATACAAAAAGGTTGTTCATCTTGGTTATTTTCCAAGATGGTAGATTTTAATTTTGTGACATCACATCTCTTTTCCCGTCTCATATACATGTATTTACATGCTAAATATAGAAGTGAATTTCCTATACCAACAAATCCCAGACAATGCCAATCTCGGACGATTCCTCTCCCAGTTATTTTATTGATGACAATCCAGAAGACAATGTCCCTCCCGTTATTTTTATAGGCGGACAATAACCCTCCCTGCCATTTTATGCACCGCATACATCCTCCGTAAGAGCTCATTGTAGAAAACGGAAAAAAACTGTTTGAGTTTTTTTTTTCTTTAAAAAAGACATTTCACCTACGTGATATTAATCCCCGAGGGGCATTATTTATATAACTTTTGTAGAGAACCACAAAGTTATGTTACATGCAAAATATCTAAGCTCTGGGCACTGTACTTTCAGAAGAATTTTTTCAGACATTTTTTTATATACAAATCTATGTAGACTATGTGACTATAGGGCGTTGCCATTTTTGACCCCATGGGCATGACTAATACAACTTGGGACCCCATGGGCATGACTAATACAACTTGGTAGAGATCGGCGACATGCACAAGCTAGGAAGTAAAGATAGATTGATTTATCATATACATCCGAAAGAGGTAGCTCTGCTGATAATAAGGATGTTATAGAAAAATAACTATTGATAACATTTCTTTGTTTAATTTCTTAAATGACTAATCAATATAACAGTATTACTCATGTGCAATTACACATACATACAACAAAAATGTCAAAATGTTCTACACACAGTGTTAGATTTAAGAAAATACATTTGTATATATTGTAACTATTGTTAGCAATAAATTAGAAATTTTATGCAAGAGACAGTGTTAAATAGTCAAGCACTTTTTATTATCAAGTCATGGATTTCATAAAATGTCAAATGTAGTTAAAAAAAAAAGTTTATATAATTCTTTAACAAAATTAAAAGATAATCTTTGAGTTATATATCTATGAGATTTGATAAATAGATGAATTAAATAATGCCGGAAACAAGACGTTCTTATACAGTGTTATTCAGTTTTTATTTTTTATCATTATTTAATACTTTTTTGAATAAGGAAGTGTTCAAAACATCCCTCTATGAAGGCTTGCTTTAAGGGAAAATAAAAATTTATCACCTCATATAAATAGTTCCATGCAAATTTAGTAAGATAGATTTATAATGTTTATACAATCTGATTATACTGGCCTTGGCATAGTAAACAAAACAAAAATAAACAATAATGGAGCATAAAGTAGTGCCTTACAGTATAACAACAAAATATAATATAAACAACACAGTGACCTGCTAATATTGATTTCACTTTCAACAGTTTCCCTTTTAAACTTCACTTATATGAAGGAAAAAAAATAAGGAATGCAATGTCAAATACAGTGAAAAGTTCAACTAGAAATTTGACAGAAAAAGCAAAACTATAGTACTTATTTTTTGTGATTTGTAGAAATGGTACAGAACATAGAACGAGCAAAAGAATCTTTCAAATATTAATGCTTAATATATGTTTTAAACGATATATATAACATCTACACATCTTATTTATTTACACATATATATACACATACACATATAAACACATATATCATTGAAAACACAATTTCTGAAGAAGAAATAAAACTACCATACATAGAATCACAAATTATTACTATTTCCCCATTTATACATTGTACATACAAAGATATAATTATTACAATATCAACAATAGTAATAAGAACAACCAAGAAATAGGTATGAAGTTAATATTCTTCTCTTACATACAAATCTATTGCACTGTCACAAGTTATTTCCCTTGGTTAATATAATAGTAAATATCAATTTTGATACATAGTGATATATTTAATTTAAATGTAGCCTTAATAATTAACTGTCAGTATCATAAAGTAAATTAATTACATGTAAAACAAGGTTTGATTGATTTGTAGAAAACATAATGTAAGAAAAAAGAAAATAATATGTGGTTTAGAAAATAAACAGCAAACTCCTTGCTAAAGAGGGTTTTAACCCCTTGAAATATTGGAGGTTGATAAACTTTGTGAAATAGATAGTAATTCATTAATTGTTTCCAGAGTGCTTTCTAAAACAAGGTTTCATTTCAATAACTAGAACATTGTGTGATAAATGGCATCTACATGTATATTACATAAATAACAGAAAGCATCAGGTGCGAGATATATAACAAGCTGAAGCAGTCTTAAGCACATATTTTTTTTTCATTCTCTTTTCATTATCAAAATATTGCAAATGGAAAAAAAGAAAAAATGTGAATTTTGTCATCAATACGAAAAGAATAATGAAAACTGTACATATAATTTTATAATGTGATATTGCATTGATCTAATGATTCACAAATCACCTCTTTGTCTCTTGTTTATTCTTCTTCAGAAAATCTGAGAAAATGGTAAAGTAATAATTGGAAAAATTGGGAAATGTTTAATCATTCTTATTACAAAGAACACAATACCTACACTGTACAAAAGCTTAACAATGAAATGGTATATGTCATGTACATATTTATATATCAATGTAAATATCATGGAATGTTTGAGGTTCTAACTACAGTAGAATCCCTCCTTAAGACCACCCCTGAATTAAGACCACCCTGCTATTAAGACCATTTTTTATAAGAACGGAATTTTCTGTTCTTTATGTCAATGGTTACATGATCCAGAATTAAGACCACCTTGCTTATCCACTTTTAAGACCACTAGATTCAGTCCCAATTCTCTATTTTGTTCTTTATTTGACCCCACTATTGAGACCACAGATTTAAAGTCAACACCTACCTAGATCTTTAATTTGTTGTTATGCTGTTATTTTCTGCTTAAATGCTCTTAGGCATGACACGTTATTTCACAAGGTGTCAAAAAACTATTTGTATTGAAATAAGGTGAGAAGTAGATTTGAGAGTGGTTTAATGTTGCTCTAAGCACATTGATTTTGCCATGAACGCGAATCCTATACATCATACCCCACATCAAGAATTAATTTCTTATTTGATGAGTGTATTATGTACATCATATAATAATTAATATTGAAATCAGATCAAAAAGAATTTGATATTGAATTGCTTCTGAAATGTTTTCGTCCCACCAGATGTAACATTATAACATACTTTAATATTTGCAGGTTAAGATACATATTGTTTATTCACACAAAATGACTAAAATAGAACATGGTCGTAAAGTGTGTAAGCAATAGGAATACTCACAATTAAGACCACCCCGCAATTAAGACCACTTTGGTCCAGTCCCGATGGTGGTCTTAATTGAGGGTTTTTACTGTACAGTAAAATCTTGTAGCCACTCATTCACAATTACAGGATGATTTCTTATCAATTTTTTGCTGCACAAATCTATTTAAATTGACAATGATATTTACAAATAACAGCAAGAACTATCTTAGAGTAGTGCTACACTCCCTACTATCTTTTTCTAAAGGAAAATAAACATGAAAGAAAGAACATTGTAGTGGACGTTTTTGAAAAAAAAAGGCATTTCATATTTAACCCTTAGACACAAGGTCATGTACAGATGACAAAATCCAAATATTTGACCTTAAAGGTCAATGTCATTTATGTGTCAAGATCAACCTTCTTTGAGATCTTGTCCTAAAGATTGTTCTGTCCAGGTATGAAGACATAATAAAGTTACAGTCAGTTGTACCAAAACCAATCAAAATTTGAGTTAAGTTCAGTCTTCACTACTTGAAGGTCTAGTCTAAAAGTTGGTCTGTCCACATATGAAAAAAATCCTTTCGAAAATTTACATCCTTGTATAATGTTTCATCTGTAAGAATATCAAAACTATATCAGAATCACATGGTCTATAATATATTTACATACTACATATCTGGTATGTTACAATATTTTCTTTCAACCCAAATTGTGTATGGGTGGCTTAAGACTTTACAATATTACTATATGTAAAATATTTGACAAAAATTACTAACTATAAATTGAAGCAAATATATGAATAAATTCACTCTATCCATGTATCCCAAAATAATTCTTCCTACAGATTATGAATGCATATATAAAGAAGCAAATCTGATTCCTTCCCTTATCATCGTGTAATGTATAGCTTTATTTACATAATAAAATGATACATGCAAAAAGGCAGAAGTTTTAAAAGTCTAATTCTATTTGAAGACATAATTATTAACACTACAAGACGGCAGATTGTATATGCTTCAGTCATGTACAGGTACAGCCATACATTACGAAAAATAAGATATTGAAGTAAACAAAAAAGTCATAACATATCATTCAAATCAATTAAGCTCTACAATTTGACCTATAACAATTTTGGAAACAGAAACACAAAAATAATATATATACCAACATTAAATGTAACAAATACGGACTAGAAAATTGAAATTAGAAAAATAAAATGATTTCTTTATTATTAAAAATTATATCTTTATCAACATATGATAATGCCACAATATCAGTCATGGGAGTATTTAATATTTCTCCTATTCAGAACAGCTCTAAATATTTGCAATATAATCAATTATGTTTAACCCTTAAACTTTTTAAGTGGAAAGTAATTAATAAAATCTGAATGAAGTTTAAACCTTAACTGCTGAAATTAAAAGTAAATAGCTTTTGCCATTAGTATAGAGCCAGGCCAGCCTGCACATTACTACTATCTGACCAGACTCTCTAATGTTGGTAGCTCAATTTTCGTATATTATTATTGAAATTCCTTAAACTTTAAATGGACTATTCTAAATTCAAAGCTTGGCAAAATTCATAATGCAAGTACAGCAGGTTAAAGGTCAACTACATAGCCTATAAAATTAATAACTGAAGAAAACAATCAACAATTTAAAATAAAAGTAGGTGACTGTAAAAAATGCCATAACTTACTAAATTGTAGACTGTATTTCCATCATAAAAAGAAAATACATTTTGATGTTTTTGCATCATGGACAGGATAAATAATCTATTTAACCATTTAAAATATCAGAATATAATCTTTCATACAGAAATTGTTTAATTAAATTCATAATTGACATGGTTTTATAGTTCAACATCAAAACAATATATCAAAACCAACTACAAAATAAACTTTTAGTCAAGCATAGCAAATATTCACACCTATATCTAATATGATATTATACTACATAAGTATAACAAATGAAATGGAAAACCAAATTGCATGTAATGGCTATATAAATGTTACAGTGATAAATAAACCAGTATTCTCCAAGATCTATTGTTCAACGATTTGTGGTTATTTATTATTACTCAAACATCATCAAAGATTCCTCTTGGTGGCACCCTGGTTCCTGGCCGCTGTGGTTTGATCCTTGGTTGCTGGGCTTGAGCCTGGTAGCCTGCTGCAGAATTTGGTGATGTGTAGCCTTCTACAGGAGCATCACTATAGTCTATTGGTTCTGCCTCGTTTAGTAACTCACTCTTATCATATGTATTAGGAACCCTCGGCATCGTGTAGCTACCTATAACATCAATATAAACTCATTATTTGACAACTATCAATTTTACTTTAAATTTTTTTTCGACTGCATTGTTTTTTTTATCTTAACTGTTCCCTTTTAAAAGTAGGCAGAAATTTATTTCCAAATCTCATTCTCTTTCACCACAAAAAAAGTTTATTTTACGTTACTTTATTCTTACAGTTATTGAGGCTATCCTACCCTTGACGATAAATTAATCACATTTACGGTTGCGAAAACCTGACAGTTATTATTTATCTATTTAAAACTTATACATTTAAAATTAAATTTTTCAGTTGCTTGCTTCATTTGATAAACAAGATTAATAATTCTGTCTCAATCATGTAACAAAGTTTTGACCTTGATTAGAAGATCCAGATCTTATTTTCATATCTTCAGGTGAGTCCATCCTGGCCCCAACAGATCTATTTAAGTTACTCCCATCTCCAAACCTTGTATTCCATTCTCTACGTCTTGCCTCAGTATCAGCAACACGATCTAATCTACGCCGCTCTGTAATATAAAAACATGCTGATTGTAATTCTTGCATAAAAGTTTAATTCAACTATAATATAACCCAGGGGTGTGGAAATATGAAATTTTGCCACTTGCCCATGGACAAGTTGGCCAGAAATTTTTACTTGTCCGCAGCTCAACTGTACTTGCCCATATGAAAATACAAAACATTGGCCATGTGTTTAAACAAAAGTTAATTAGAGGTAACAGTGTCCTTTCATATAGTAAAGTGTGAACAGATTTGCTTAGTAAAGACCAGACATCATTTCTGTAGTTTAAGGAAACAATCTACAACTCTTATAAAGCAATGAATGATGTCCAAACAATTATCCTTTTGAAAAAATTTGAACCAAAACAACTTTACAATTGTTACCAAATGTGCATTTTAAAATCTACTTTAAATAAAGAGTTAGGTTCCTCCATATGACCTGCATGTATCAAGGAGCCTGCTTTCCTACAAGAGTTCTTCCATGGGTTGAAATGATTGATATGAAAAAGTGTATTTCCTCATAGTTAACCAAGAAACATAACTTAACTTACTACAATAAATGTTCCCCATTGATAAGCAACAAAAATACAGTATTTTGTTTTTCCTACTGGATCAGATTTTCACTTGTCCACGGACAAGTTCTATGGAAAAATCTACTTGTCCGCAGGCATAAAGTCCCCAGTCGGACAAGTCGGGCATGGGATTTCCACACCCCTGTAACCGAACTTTAAAACTTTCCTTTTAAAATGTACTATCTCTATCAAAAAGTAGAATGGATTTAAACGTCTTTCACTGATGCTCAGAGTAACCTGTACCTACACTTGTGACATTGGTTAGTCATTATAACCTCTAGTAGTGATAAAAAAAAATTTAAAAATCCAGCAAAACAATAAATTTCATCAACATATTATCAATTCAATTCAAATATCTTTATTCATCCACGTATCTGCTATCAATAAAATGCATATATACCTCTTTTAACTAATTCCTTGCCTTCATCAACAAGTTCCGAGGTCAGATCATCGTCTCCTATAAACTGATTAATGCCCAGGAAGTGTAGTATACGGCTACCAAGACTAAAGTAGGTGCATATACACAACAACACTATCATTATCGGGAAATATATATTAAAACCATCTGATATTATTGGTATCACATCCATATGGCCCATTATCTGAAATATCAATGAATATGTTGAATTATTTAATTTCAGTTAACAAAATATAAAATGGTATGTAGCTACAATTTAAAACAAGCAAAAATCAATTCTATTTTTAACCACACAAACTTACAAAAAAAATAATTAAAATGTCCTAAAAATTTACATCCAGGATAAACATGTGAAGAATTTCCCTTCTATCAACTAATCATCAACATAATTTAGAAATATAATCTTGTGTGTCACTATTTACAAAGAGACTTTGGGATTAATGTGGATAAAACCAATGTCCCTGTTTAATTAATGTGTACTAAAATTACACTTACTTACTGCAAAAAAAAAAAACAACAAAACAAACAAGTTTTTACCTAATTGAATAGCAAGTGTTCTTACTATAGAAATCTGTTTAAAAGGTATTTCTTTCAAGGCATGCAGTTAGTAACTTTTACCAAAAATTAAGGAAGGTAAAATATCATCATATTAGAATTTTCCTTCAAAATCATTATTTAAAAAAAACAAAACAACAGCCATAATCATATTGTACAACTTTAAAACAGTGAAACCATTATATAACCTGAAAATAAACTGTCACCTTGATTCTTATTTTTTAAGTGAAATATTTTCATTCAACAAGAAATTTTCCACCTTCACTTTGATATATCAAGTTTTTGTTACGTTAGTTCACTCATACCTATCTATAACAATTTTCTTACCAAATACCGTTTGTGAAATGTGTTTCAAAATATCATAATTATGTAAATTTATTTTTGACTTGTTAGTATTAGGAACAATCTGGTTTCCTTAGTCATGCAAAAATATTGAGACATAAACTACCGGAAGGTTTAGATGTTTGTAACCACGATATAAATTCTGAAAATGAGTTATAAAATACATGTTACAATGTTTGAATATCATTGTGAGAACAGATCCTAACTAATTTCAATCATGTTCAATCATTTATAATTTAGTCATTTCACAAGTGACCTTATAGAATTCATAACAACCCACGCTTTACAACGGTTTAAATTCATTATAAATTTTATGGATATCATGATGAAAATTTGGAAAATTATTCGGCAAACAGAACACTGTCTGGTTAGATTGCACAAGTACAGACTGGCCTGTTGCTATTACAGTGACAAAGGACATAGCAGTGTCAGTTTCTGCATTTAAGGATTAAATAAGTGGCGACACACAGACAGATGGTGGTTTATTAATATGCCGTCCGTAGGGGCCATAAAAAAGATACTTTTACTACATTTCTAATTACTACTAATTTACTACAAGCGTATCAAACAATATTAAATAACTATATGCTATTAGTCCTATAAAAAAGCACCTGCCACGTTCAATAACACAATGGCCTGCCTTAAAGCAGTGCCAATATCTATATCACTTTTTTCGTCCCTGGGCCGAAAAGTAATATAGATATAAACCTCGCATTTGAAGTAATTTGATTGTCTAATAAAGGCGGGCCTAAAAATGATATAGATTTCTGCAAGAAACTGGGAAATGGCAGCCATTTTGTTTTAACTCGGTCTATGTGTAGACGCCGACAGGTTGCATAAATGAAACAAAATATTCTCAGTTTCTAAACAATCATGTCATGATTTAGTACATGAAGTTATTTAATAAAATTGTCAATAAATAAGTGATTTGATATTGGCCCTGTTATTTGTCCTCGGCCTTCGGCCTTGGGCCAATACGACTGCCCTCGGACAAATAACAGGGCCAATCACTTATTTATTAACATATAATATACAATGGTAAGCAGATAAGTTAATATTGTTTAGCTGCAATGCTACCAAATCTGAAAATTAGTACTGAACTTGTTATATAATAAATAAATCATTAAATGTAAATATGAAGAAGATCAATACAAAATATTATTTGTGATCAACTCTTTAAGAGTTATTAAAGCATATCAAATAATCATATAAAAGCTGTGTTAATAACTATTACACCTTGGTTTTTTATTTGATAAAGTTACAACCCACTACATCTAGCTTAACCTTCAGTATATATATAAGTAATATAACACAGTATGAAGTGAAACACTTACCAAAGTATAAGCAGTTTCATGAATATTTTCAGAGTGAGTCACATGACTGTCAAGGTGGATTAATCCAAGGAAATTTAGACACATGGGTGGTGTTAGACGGCATAGCAGCCTGAAATAGACATTTGGTGTTCAGCAGGACACTTTTGGGAAAAAACTTCTGTGAATTTGAAATTCTTCCAGAAATATAGCAGTTGCTCAGTCAAAGTATTTTTTATATAATGTATGCGAAAAAAAAGACCAAATCACAAACCCTCTATCATTCCTACTGCTTGTAACATTGGAAGGTGCAATAGTTCTGTGAAAGTTTGGTTGAAATCCATCGAGAAGTATGGCAAGAGTTTCACACAGAAGACAAAATATTACATAAATCATGAAAACAAACAAAAAAAACAAACAACAAAGGGTCATTTTTCTGTCAAAAATGTTCAAATCACAAAAACCCAGACAATATGCACCAGGTCATATGACGACCTATGAGTTTTTGCTCACAGAAGAAACTGTCTAATCTTATAACCAGTATTTTCTTTCCGTAAACTTGGTTAACAAATGATAGGAGAAGGTAAGTACTTACATGCCAGTAAAGATAAGACTGTATTCGTTGGTTTGGTGATGGGGAGCAATATAATAGTAGTTGAGAATTTTTATCTGAAACACGCTGTAGTATGCACATGTACACAGATAGGCAATAGTCAAAATACTTGCCAGCTGAAAATAACAAATAATAACACATTACAGCTTTATGTTTAAATATATCTAAAATTTGAATAAATAACCAGAAAAGTAAGAACGAAATGGACATTTATATAAGTCAAATTTTACATGAATGTTTATCGCATAATATTAAAAAATTTTTTTATACAGTTGAAGCATCTTGATTTGCTTTGTTAAAACAAGCATCATAACATATTGACAGTGTATGTTTCACAATTTTGAACTAAAACAAATCTTACTGATTTAAAGAATAAAATATTTCTATACTATTTCTATACAAGATGCATAAAACAAGTAACTAAGTTTGCACTAGACAACAAACTTACCTCAATGTATACATAATCATAGTTTTCTTTGGCCAAGTTAATAAATACAGCAAAAATAGAGAGGACTGGACTTTTGATGAAGAACAGACACTCGGACCACACAACCATGAATGATACAATAGTAAGTATAACAGCGAGTATACGACATACCCACGGCTCACATAAACATCTCCAATACCACTCTGTAAGTAACAAATATCATGTATATCACAGTACAATATACCCTTCATTAACCAGTACAAAACAGTATCATAATCAAATAACTGCTAGTACACAAATATATATCAATCTTTTCACAAAAATCACAATCTATAATTTTTTTTTTGAAAATTATGTCATTTATACAGTGTTTAAGAATTCGATAAATTCTATTGAAAAATCAAGTAATCTTTTACCTATATTTGGAGTGAAAAAGCGCTGTACAATTCTGTTTCTCTGCACAGGAAAGCTATGTTTGTACCGTTTGTCAATACTCATATCATTGAGTATACGATCTTCCAGTTCAAATGATTTCTGCATCATCATGCTCCACTGAGTCTGATGTCTTTTATTAGTCTGCATTGCATATATCACATTACGGTGAAGCTTTACAAGAGCTTTCTCCGATGGCGTCTCTATACTCTTGTTATAGTCTTCATAATCTTCTGTCCGACTCACGCTATTCCTCACCGAATCTGGACACTGTCATATAGAGTTATATGTATTTATCATGTCATTACATCAAGGTAAGTACATGCCTGATAAATTGAACTGTATCAGTCATCCTCAGCTTTACCAGACACATCAATACATATTGAATAAAATGAAGAAAATGTAATATTTTTACCTCTTAATAGTTTAAAAATACTTAACAGATACACTTTGAATCAAATAGAATTTTTGAATATTAAATTATCTCTTACATTTGACTAACAAATGAACAATCTGTAAGCAAAACCTTAACACAGTAAGAACTTTCACATGCCGAAAAAATAGTGTTATAAATTTTTTTTCAGTCTGGATCCTTTAAGGTTTTTTACAAAGACTTCAATCTGTTTTAGATTTGTGTACCATTTTATGTAGGTCAGGACCAATAACCAAATTGTATGTTGTTATTTGAAACACCTTAGCATCTAAGTGTGATTTTAAAATCTGCCTCAAAAGAAAATATATAAGATTTTACCTTTTCAAGAATAGTTTCTACATGTCTTCTAAGGGAATGGTTGTAACGTATCTTCTCTGAGGCCTGTTTAACTTCCTGCAATAAAGAGTAGGTGAAACAATTAGGGATATATCTTGCATTAAAAAGCCATATAATTACATATATGAGCCGCGCCATGACAAAACCAACATAGTGCGATTGCGACCTGCATGTATCCAGACCAGCCTGCGCATCCGAGCAGACTGATCAGGATCCATGCTGTTCGCTATCAGTTTCTTTACTTGTAATAGGGTTTGTAAGTGAACAGCATGGATCCTGATCAGACTGCTCGGATGTGCAGGCTGGTCTGGATCCATGCTGGTCGCAAACGCACTTTGTTGGTTTTGTCATGGCGCAGCTCATATTTGCTTAACTTGTTAATGAATATAACAATTTAAATATTCGTGTTATCAGACAATTCTGTTAAGATTTTTTCATAACTTTAGTAAGCTATTCATTATTTACCTCCAGAACATCTTCAAGATTTTCCTCAGCTTCTGTTTTCTCGGTACTCTGTTTTGCAATTTTGAAATATGTTCTTGACAACATATAAGAGTGCTTTGCATTATTCCATACATATCTGGGAACCTCCACAAGACCATATCCCAGCAGCAATACCAACAAAAATAATCCCCAGGTGTTACTTGCTGTAACACCTATGACCTTCAACTTTTCCCTATAATGAAAGTAAATGTTTGATATTAATAACAACGGAAGGATACAACTAACAAAAGGTTAAAAACACCATTCAATTTTGGAAGGAAGCATTTTCCAAATAACCCTTTGTTGTAACCTTGACATTTGACTTTTAGACCTTATGCAGGCAACAAAATAAATGGTTGCATTGAGAGAATTTCTTTTTTTTTATCATAAATATGAATTATTTATCCATTTGATCTGTCATGATCATATGAAAAAAACAAAACAACTGTTATAAATAGGCCTGCCAAATTACTTTTTACATAAATGACACTTACCCATCAATATTTAGATCTGGTCTTGCAGCAACATAAATCAAACAAACACCAAATATCAGAAAGTAAGTTCCATAATATAAAGCATTTTCTATCACTGCAGACTTAATTTTTCCAGCTACAGTGAAGTCCCCTGCTCGAGAGTATGACTGCATCATTGGTAGAAGAAACCTGTTTAAAAGATGAACATTTGAGTTGTACTCTGAACTGGCTTAACACAATTTAAAACATTAATGTTTGTAAGACTTAAAAGCAAAAGGCAATAACATTATTTATAACTTTGAGCTCACAGAGCTTTGTCCTGTTTGAACTACTGTACTCACCAAGTTAAGAATTGAGATGTCCAGTACACTATCTTCCAGAGCGTTGGTAACACATTATCTGGCACATGACTTACTGGCATCTGACATGGTTCCTCAATCACTGCTCTACGTACCAGCAAATGACTACTTGGTTTTGGTGTGGTAGTATCATTCCTACTGCTTGTAACATTGGAAGGTGCAATAGTTGTTGTTGTTGTCACAGGTAAACTTCTTGTTCTCTCCTCTAAACATTGTTTATAAAACGTCTGACAAGATAAAAATCAAATACAAAATGTGATTTCCAATATTAAACCACCAGCATTATAGTAGTATATCAATTTTGATACTTTACAATGTATATCAAATGCTGTATCTAATACAATAAAGTAAGTTGAAACCAACCATAATCATGAATATTTTCTATACTTCACATCTATTATCTAAAATTTCTACCCTCAACTGATGTATATTTGTGATATTAAGCGCATTCATGAGAAATAATGCGGAATAAAAATATAAACAAATTACACATGTACTGTAAGCTAAAAATTTATCTTATTCAATCTCAGTTCAGTTCAAGTTTCACCTGGTAACACTTGTCTAGTATTTGTCAGTGGTACCTCTAAATAATAAGAGTCTGCCATATGGAATGGTATGTTGATTTGCAGACGACTACAATTATGTCATAGTAGGTCAAATTAGTTCAAATGATTAAAATATAAGCTCATTCATGTGCCAATTCAAGTTCGGCACAGAGTTTAGACATATCCATGGCCATTTGCTGCCTATTTTTCTTGCATCATTTCAATTTTTTAGCACAAATGTTGCAAAATCAAGTCCTTGGCAGATCTTTGTGCCAGAAATATTATATCACTGTCGGGCAGTTTGAAAGGGTTTCAATGAGTTTATGCAGGTGTGAAAAAAATCCATGAATTTAAAGATGCCATGATTTTAGAGACATTGGCACTTGTGCGAGAGACTAAGATTATTTTCTTTTGGAAAAAACTTGAGAAAATGAAATTGTTAAACTGATGAATAAATTAAACTGTTAAAACATTACATTTACATTTCTCAATATTGAAAAATGCTTATTACTTACGCTTGATACATCCAAGGGCAAGATAAAGATGATCATAAAAGAGAAGTACCAAGCAATAAATGTAAACAAGGTTACAAGAACATGCTGTTTCCGTAGATCTCCATAACGATGAAGGAGAATGGCAGCAAGAAAGCAGGTCAGCACAATCTCAATTATAAGAGGCCCAGCACTCATCCTGACAGGTGTCCTTTCACATCTAAAGAATTGATATAAATATAAAACAGTATTAGTTGACTCTATCACAGGGTTGAATTAAGGAAACCCGACAATAATAAAATATCGATTGTTTTTATTTTACAGACAGATTATCAGATTATTTTTAGTGAGATTTTGCAAGATGGTCGAACATTTCTTAAAACTATGGAACAAGATAAATTCATTGTTTTTTACATTATAAATTAGTTTAAGTAATAAATTTCAATATACATCTTAATAATTACCCCTTAATCACTTAAAATCTGTAAAATAATTGATTTTCAGCCGTTGACGTAAATCCGGAAGTAGTAACTGGTTCTCGGCTTGCCTGTCTTTTTACCGTACTATACCGTTTGTTCTCCGGAATATATTACAGGTAGAACAACACTAAATTATTCCATTGTACAATTAATAGAGACACCTTAAAATAAATGGAAATTTAAGCGTTGAAGGTATTAAAACAACTGCTGGTAAAATAGTTTTATGTTTCTTTGTTATTTTCCATAATGTCAAAACTCTTTTTCATAGACATAGTCTATTGTTCTACACCTACACCATTATTCCTCTATAAGCTGAGCATTTTTATCAATGAAATCCTACTGACAGCCTCTAATCTCGCAATGAAACCAGACCCAAATGCAAATTAAATCAACAGTACATACTCATAACCAAAGTATCAGAACAGGCTTATCATTAAATTGAATCTAAAGTCATGCTGATTCTATAAATGTCATTAGGTGAGATAACAGTACTACTAGTTTAGGAACATCTTACAGAACCAAATGCTTCTCCTGGTTCATTAGCGTGCCAAGTGTTTAGCACGCATACACGGGACCTCGATTTAAAGTCTCATCCATAGACTAATTAGTAATTTTAGTTAGCCAGCCTGGGAATCAAACCCACACTGTCAAGAATACAAGTCTCAAGCTCTAATCGATCGAGCTATATTTTTGGCTGGCTATAATAGCAAGAGGTGAAGTGTGGCTCTATATACATGTACAGTACTGGTGTATATATACTAGTGTGTGTGGTCATATGAAGAACCTAAGTCGGATCCCTTGATTGAGAGGCAAACTCTTAACCACTAAGCCTCTGCTTTCCTCATAGTTTATTGATCAATGTATTTACTACTATCTGTGCATTATAAAATTATTGTTTATACATGTATTGTGATTAAAATGATTACAGAATACCTAGAATAAAAGAAACTTGTGTCTAATTTATTAAATGTCAGTGGGCATGCATGAAGTTGTCACCAAACCTATTAAAATAGGAGCTGATTTTGTTTCAGAACATTTCATTCTGTTTAAGTTTAATATTTATGTACAAGTATTATAAGATTAAATTGACATTCTGTATACTAGATTAAATTGACATTCTGTGTTACAAATAGTTGATGAACAGGTCATAAGGTTACAGAAACAATATACATGTATTTTACTGTTTTTAATTTTTTTTATAGATATAGATTTATAAATTTGAATTTATAAACAACGTGGGAGTTCAAAGAACAATCAATTGTGTGTACAAGTTATAGCTGCGCATACTTTCATTATATTCCGTTGCTGAAACTTTGGTCAATCTGTATTTTTTCTCTCCTATACTATCACATAAAGAAGCATGGATTTGCAAATAAAACACAAAACTTTTACACTACTTACAGTTTATTTGTTCTTTTTCAAATATATAAGTAAACAATAATAGAGAAAAAAATAAATAGACGTATGGACGGAAAATCAGATCAGTCAAGTATGTAAAGGTATCATTAACAGGAACTGCAGTTTACTTTAAATAGTATTTCATGAATTCAAGTTAGTTGACAGTAAACAAAAATAATAACACCATTATGACATTAAAAAAACAGTTTAAAAAGTCACAATACAAAAATTAATTTGAACGTTTGAATGTTTACTGGTAGATAAACATCCAATTTGTGACTGTTTTCTTACATGTACATAATTTCACTTCATGATAATATATTTCAGTTTAGCATGAATTTTAAGTTAATTCTCCAAATACATGTAAAGTCTTTTTTTTATTCATTAGAATCATTTACAACTTTTATGTCACAATTACAATGTAAATCACATGTTAAGTATAACTAGGTTATTTGTTTTGTCGTAAAAGTCTACATTTTCCTGTTATCTTGTGCTGTATTTTACTGGAAAGAGTAACTAGGATTAGGGGTAGCTCCACACCAGACCCCTATAAACTTCAGCACATCTTGTAACTCTGAACTGTGAGACACCTGAAATATACAACATCACAATGATTTAAATAATTGTATACACACATTGATATCAACAACATATGTAAAATATTACACTGGAATGGAAACATTACTGTAGAAACTGTCATAACATTTGGTTAGAAATATTTAAGTTTTCTGGATTTGTTTTCATTTTATATTCTTTTTATATTTCTGTATTTGCAATATTTTGTTGACAAATGAGTTAAAACTAGAAATGTGTCCATAGGACACGGATGCCCCCACACACCACTGTTCTGTCAATCTTATGACTCTAGGTCAAATATTTTTTGGACTACATGTCCCACAAGTTGAAAACTCAAAATCAACAAAGGGCCATAATTCTGTTAAATTTGGTCGCAGCGAAAATTCCTTCCTTTACTACCATCCACACATTAAGGTTGTTAATCCCTGGAAGTTTAAGCAAAATCTGCCATCCGGTTTAAGAGAAGTTGCGTTCACAAAATTTCTACATAGTATATAGTGAAACTAGAAATGTGTCCATAGGACACGGGTGCCCCCACCGCGCCACTGTTCTCTCAATCTTTTTACTAAGTCAAGGGAAATAACTCTATAAATACTGGATAAATCCACAAGCGAAACCCCAGGTGCAAATCTAAAATATGCTGAGCAACCTGCCCATAAGGTTTAATGACTATGTCAAATCCTTCTTGAGAAACTTGCGACACAAGTTGAAAATTGCAAAAATTTTCAAAGTGAAGGGCAATAACTCTAAAAATACCTAATAAATCCAGACGAAAATACCTGGTGCACAACTGCACATGCTGATCAACATTCCTGTAAAGTTTCATGACTCTAGGTCAAATACTTTTTGAGTTATTAGCGACACAAGTTGAAAATTGCAAAATTTTACTAAGTCAAGGGCAATAACTCTGAAAATACTAAAAATATCCAGACGAAAATACCCAGGTGCACAACTACACATGCTGATCAACATTCCTGTAAAGTTTCATGACTCTAGGTCAAATATTTTTTGAGTTACATGCGACACAAATTGAAAATTGCAAAATTTTACTTAGTCAAGGGCAATAACTCTAAAAAAATACTAAAAATATCCAGGCAAAAATACCCAGGTGCACAACTACACATGCTGACCAACATTCCTGTAAAGTGTCATGACTCTAGGTAAAATACTTTTTGAGTTATGTGCGACACAAGTTGAAAATTGCAAAATTTTACTAAGTCAAGGGCAATAACTCTAAAAATACTAAATATATTCAGAGGAAAATACCCAGGTGCACAACTACACATGCTGATCAACATTCCTGTAAAGTTTCATGACTCTAGGTTAAATACTTTTTGAGTTACGTGCGACACAAAAGAGAACGGACGGACGGAAGGACGGACGGAAGGACGGACGGACGGAAGGACGGACGGACAAGGGTAAATCTAAATGCCCGCCACTATCGTGGGGGCACAAAAATCAACAAATGGCCATAATTCTGTAAAATTTGGTTGCAGCAAAAATTCCTTCCTTTACTACCATCTACACATTAAGGTTGTTAATCCCTGGAAGTTTAAGCAAAATCTGCCATCCGGTTTAAGAGAAGTTGCGTTCACAAAATTTCTACATAGTATATAGTGAAAAAAACAACAAAGGGCCATAATTCTGTAAAATTTGGTTGCAGCAAAAATTCCTTCCTTTACTACCATCTACACCTTAAGGTTGTTCATCCCTGTAAGTTTAAGCAAAATCTGCCATCCGGTTTAAGAGGAGTTGCGTTCACAAAATTTCTACATAGTACTAGGGAAAAAATCAACAAAGGGCCATAATTCTGTTAAATTTGGTCACAGCGAAAATTCCTTCCTTTACTACCATCTACACATTAAGGTTGTTCATCCCTGTAAGTTTAAGCAAAATCTGCCATCCGGTTTTAGAGGAGTTGCGTTCACAAGATTTCGGGACGTACGGACGGACGGACAAGTGCAACGCTATATGCTCCCACATTGTGGGGGCATAAAAATCCTGTATGAAGGTTCAGAATGTCAGAGTTGTAACAACCCAAGATCAGTAAAAATCTGCTCCACTCTTTACTTGGTAGTATAAAAGAGTTATTTCTAATTCAATTTCAAACATGAAATAAGGTATTAGAGCAATGCACTAATCCTTTTATAAAGATTTAACTGATTCAAAACAGAATATCCAATCATCCAGTGACATGCAACATTTTATTTTTGGACCTTTTTTCTAGGATGTTTTGCTATTTTTGCTATTTAAGATGTTTGTTTTTTTTTATATCAAAGAAAATGGAGAATATCAAACCTTTGTTGCCATCAAGTACTTGTTCCAGTCATCCTTGTTGGCCACCTTACCAGGGGCTTTAAATTCCATCTTGTTATTCAACACAGGGTAACCTGTATTACAAAACATAATAAAATTCATTGTGATTTCAGCAAAGAAGAAATTTTTGAAGATTGCAATATTAATTTTTTATCTTAAGCTTCATCAAACTGTACAGTTGCACAATGGGCCAGAACACTTTGGACAACTTTGATACAGATCATGCAAGGAACATCCTAGGCAAGTGTTACAAAATTTGGCAAAGTGGTTGGAAAGGAGATAATGTCATTTGAAACAAATGTGGCCTAGCAACAGACAGACAGATGAAAAACAATGAACAGACAATAATACTGAAAACTTGGTCATAAACACAATGTGCTCAGGTGAGCTAACAATCTAACCAGCTAAATTATATGAGATAAATGAGTTGTACTCACCAGTGATAACACAGGGTAAAGCTCTGATACCAGAGTCAGGAGCTGTCAGACTGCCCTCAAAACAACCTCTCTCATCTTTTGGTAAACTTTGTTCTATCTGCTGGTCCATTGATATAGCTAATACCCACTCTCTAATATCTTCATGTTGCTGAGACTGAAAGTTATTGACATGCAATGTAAGTCATTTCTCTTTCATGAAAGATAGACTTTTTAACCCCCTTTATGTACCTTTATAAAGCAGTATCAATTAAGATACAGTAGTTGCCACAGTAAACTTTATTACCAAACAACCCATTATATTTTTAAAGAGCAAACACATATATGACTAAATTCCAATACTGTAAAATACTGTCAATATCTTCATTTGTGAAATTAAAGAGAGTACCTTTTGAAAAACCAGAAATCCAAAAACAAGAAAATAAGATAATGTCAATAATCCTAACAAAAATGTGGCACAAACTCATTAAATTTTCTAAAAAAATAAAATCAAACAAAACATTCAAGCCAAATTATACTTGGTTAATGTACTCTTGGTGTTTCTAAAATTCAATTTTGTTCTAATTGAAATTCAACCAAACTAAAACAACCAAACTAAAACAGGGTAGGGTACTTGTCCTGCTTTATCTTTGCAAATGTCCCATGTGTCTTGTATAGGATTTCAATTTTAAATTAAGAAATTTTGATAACAATTTTGCTGCAAAGAAGTACTGACAGTTTGACTCATAAATCATTTAAAACTTTTAACTTTCACAAGTATGAGGATAAATCAAACTAGATCTTTTGGGGATGCTTAAAATTGGGAGGTTGCACTTTTTCATTATCCCTCATGTATAGAATCAATCAAACCAAGTCTGCAATTTTCATGTAATTTTATTGTTTTTAATGCTTCTGAGAGTTGAAATTTTTCCAGATATTTAAATGTTTAGTTTTTCTTAAATTTAGTAATACAAATAAGAAATCAAATAACACAGAATGCCTTATTCATGACACTAAAATTCATGGTTCTAAAAGGGACATTAAGAAATAAGTGAAATAATAATAATTACTGTAAGATGTGGTTTCTCAGGTAGTGGTATCTCAAACGGAATGTCAGTTCTCTGAAAGTCACTATGATCTATCATATCTAGACTGCCTTCTTCTATAGCCTGTAAAACATCAAGTTTATAACTGTCCTCACTTTTGTTACAATCAACAATGAAAGGATACAATGTTAATTTTAACAAACTACATTTACTAATCAGCAATGATTTATTTCTTATGATAATAAAAATGTGATGCTATCAAATTACAGAAAATTAGCTGGTGTACATCAGTATAAATAACAAAATTCAACAATTAAGGTTTTTAATTTTAAAATGGAACATAAAATAATCATTCAAAATAGGATTTTCAATATCTTTGAAAATAACCAGAATCAGTTATTATGTTCAATTAACAAACTATTACATACTACATGTATGTAACAACTCCTATGTTTATTTCTACAAACATTACATCATAACAATCTTAATACAAAATATTTCATCAATTCTTCGTTTCATGAATTGTTTTAAAATTCTAATTTACAGCACGATAGTTTTGTGATAAATATTTACCTCAGAGATATCAAGATATCTGTTCAAGAACACAAATGCCATGTTGTCCCAACCTATTGCCTAAAAAATAGATAAAAATTGCAAATCACAAATACAATTGTATCTTTTGCAAAACAAATGTCATAATTCACTTAAATCATTACTGTATTTTAGGAGAATCACAGTAACACTGGTTCCTTTTTAGCAATAAATTATTAATTAAATTATTAAAAATTTCCTATTCAAAGTCATTTCCTGTTAGCACTTTCATACAATACTCACTAGCTATTTTATTCAAAGTACTTTTCTCGATATATACACTAGTTTACAGTTCACAAAAATATACATGCACATTTATAAAGGCCGGTTCCAAACAAGTCAATTGAAAAATTTAGCATGGTATGTGTAACTATATGACACTTCATGCTGACCTTATAAGTAGCTTTATCAAGGTAAATATATAACTTACACGACACATCATGCCAGCCTCAAAGAAAGCTTTATCAGCTGGTATGACATCTGTATGTCTCAACATTGATACAGATAGCTTGGTTGCAATAGAATCCAGAGATTTATGAGCCATGGCTGATGATCTTGTAGCATAGTAATGAGCTATAACCATGAAATTCTCAAACTCTTCATGGTCAGGACCGTTGGCATCAGGGGATTTCCTCATATTCTCAGTCTAAAATACAGATTGTTAGAGAAATCAAATAAACTGTAAAGCTGCATGATTTAACTACATATACATATAAAATGCTTTAACAATGTCTCAAAAATGTCTGCTATATTCTTGAGCAAATTTTCAATAAAAGATGTAAAAATCATGCATTTGTTAGGAAAAACTTATGTAAGAGGTTACCCACCAAATCATACAGCATGTCCCTCAGATCAGCCCATGTTCTGAAAGCCTCAGGTTTGTTTAAGTCTTTCATTGATAATACATCATTGAAGATTCTTTTGTAGATGTTGAAATTCTGAAATATTATTAAATACAAATACATATTAATATTACTTTTCCCCCTATTTCATGTACTGTACTCTTCATCTAAGAATGTGTATATTTATCATGTTTGTTTAGTTTTCATTTTTAATTTTGAGCCGCAGAATAAGAATAAAAATATATACAGATCTTTTAGCTTTACTGATAGATTAAGACCATCATTATTGAAAACAAATGAAGTTTATTCAAATAATTTTAGTTTAAACATCTTTATTTAAGTTTGACTGTAAAGCAAGGTCTTGCAATATATAAATCACTTTATATTCCTCTTTATATTATGACAATAACTGTATTTAACATAGATAGCTCTACCATAATACCTGTGCATTAGCTGGAGCACCATACTTGACATACACATCCATAGCTCTCAATGTATCTCCGCCCTTGATAAGATGTGTGGCATACAGGGCAGCGTATTTATGAAGGACCTTCGGGTTTTGTTGCTCAGCTGTATCCAGGGCTTTCTGCCATTCTCCTTTCTCTATATACATGTCTATAGCTCCTACAACATCAACACCCGCCAGCTGCAATATATTCAACAGAATAATAAACCTATACTAGCTTTATTGATTATATTTCAAAACTTAATCTAAATCTTTCCAAACCTTATGACATTAGATATATATTAAGTAATTATATGATTAAATATGGTTTTTTAACAAACACTACAAACTTCATCATATTTTTTCACCATTCAATATCTATACATATAAAAAGTATATGCCAAAGTTCAGTTTTCAATAAGCATATATGCATTTGTAGCAGATATGTATGATAATATAAACTTACCACATCAGCTCTACCCTGGCTCTTTAAAGATTCCTTGTATCTGTCTTCAACATATGCCTCATACCTGTAACACAAACACATTATTATATGTAATTGAGTTCAAACATATGTGTACTGTGTATTTAGAAGACAAAAAATGTCTAAAAATGCTGACAGTTATTGATACTTATCACAATAAAGATACTTATGAAAAAGGGGGTTCACAGAATTTCCAATGCTTCAGTTCAATTGTGTAACTCAACTTTCATACCAAGTAAAGTTTTACCCAATGCACAGAAAATGTAATGCTATAATGTAATCAAGAGTTTAAAACTCAACACTTCATCAAAGCCTCTATAAAACAATGATCAATGTTAGAAACATGTATAAATAAGAATCATACTTAGGTTCAAGCTCCTTGGCCACCTTCCTAGCCTTGCCCCACTCCTCAGCTGCCATAAACATGTCAATGGCATCCTTAACTAGGTCAACACTCAGGTACAACTCTGCTGCCTAAACAAGTAAGGTTATAAATAATGACACAGTCAAAATATACAAATTTATGTTTGTCTTCTCAATCTAAGTCACATTGTTTTTAAGTCTTATTTCTAAATTGTGATTATTTGCAATTGTAATATAAAATGATTGGTATGTGAGTTCGCATTTATGGAGATTTTAGATCATACATCATCAATATTAGCCAGGTATATTACCTCATTGTATGTGGCTTATCTAAATGCTATCAATACAACAATAACTTTTTATTTTAGTAAGTCCTTAGTAAATATAACAACCTATCAAAAATATTGTAAATTATTAAAAATTCTACTTCAGAGATCCTTTATATGCACATCTAGTTTGATGTGTCAACATGTTAACGATACTTACAGCTGTAAACTTCCTTTGTTCTACCAGTCTTGGACAAACTATCTCTACAACACGGACTGCCTTCTCTTGTCCTAGGAACTTTATAGCTAAATCTGCTCCCTATATAATATTAACATTAACACTATAGTTCCTTTTTTAAAAGAAGTGGACAATGCAAACTGTTTATGAATAAAATTCCTTCATATGCTCTAATACAAATACATAAGTATTGAAGAAATACAAATGAAAAAATTACTTTGACACATTTTGTCTTTAAACATACAAGTCCAGGAACTTCAATAATATATTTTGGATATGTCTGTGTTCTAAGATACAGATTAGATATATATAAGTAAAAGGTATAATATATTATTGACATAAACCATACAAACCTTCATCCAGCATTTAGACAAGACCTCTTTATCGTTGGTAAGTTGATCTGTGACCTTGAGATAACATTCCACAGCTCTAGCATATTCCCCAGATGATTCCCAATCCCTTGCCTGTTGTAGCATTGACTCAGCACCTCTGTTTTATAAAAGTAATATATAGGAATTTAGATGATATATATTTATTTCAGATTTCAATTAGTTCTAACCAGATCTCAAAGTTTTTATATTGGCCTACATTGTTTAATTGTCAAATTATTTAAAAATGAAAACAACTTTTATGCTATAATAGAAACATATTAATGCAGGATGTACCTAAAGAGATGTAAAAAGTACTATATTTTCATGTTATACCTTGTAGATTTATCTGTCATTTCTCTATCATAATCATCTTGAAGTTGCTGTAACTTATGAGGAACATACTCCTTACATACACGCAGTGCGTCCTGCCACATACCAGAGTCCTAAAACATCAGAGATTTAAAAAATGTTAATTTGCCAAGTCAGTACATTATCCCACAAACTCATGAATGTGTTTCCCTTTAAGAAATCCAAACAAGTGACAGAAAATTGTCACAAAACCAGGTTTTCTATCAATATCACAAAACCAGGTTTTCTATCAATATTACAAACAGTATGTAAAAAGAACAAATGAAGGCCAAAAATCTGTAAAAATTGATGCAATTCCAAATCCTGTTAAGTAAGCACAAGGGTACTTGATGAAGACCAATCTGTTCAAGTTTGGTTGAAATCTATTGAAAGATATAGAAGAGTTTGCCTACAGGAGAAATTGTTTATGCTCAGATGTCTGCCCTTGAAATTCACTTTGTCTAATCTAACAACCAAAGTTTTTTCTGTTTAAAATAATACGGGTTTGAAAAATTCCTACCTTACTAACAGTATTTATAACTTACTCTGTAATATTTCACTGCCAGCTCAGGCCTCTGTGCTCTTAGCAAGTATGTCTCAGCCTTGGCATATTCTTTCTCCTCAAAGGCAAATCTTGCCTGACCAACCAGAACATCTGCAACAGAATCTGGATCACTAGCTTCAGCCACTCTCTGAGCCGAGTCCCAGTCCTGGTTGTGTACATACCTGAATTGGAATATATATATACACATCATTTTATGTATAGTTAAAATAATGTATTTCCATGCATAATGTAAAGAGACCAACTAAAGTAAGGAATAGGTAACTAATTATTTATTACTATTTACTTTTAAAAGTCAAATGAAAAACTTAGATGCTTTTAAATATCTAGAGAACCTAAATAATTACATGTTAAACTCAGTGGATGGTATTCTTACTAGTTCCTGGTAAACTAGCTCACTAAACTAGTCTTTCAAGCTTTTAAAAATATCATTTAAAAGGACCTGAAGCAGAAGTGATTTTGACTGCGATCCCATTAAAACAGGACAGTCTGTCAAAGTATCATTATGAAAATTGTGTTCAACAATAAACTGCTGTTTCATGGGTGTCTCCAATACTTACATAAGAACAGCCTCCTTTGGTTTCTCTGCCCTAACAAATTCTGCCTCGGCATCAGCAAACCTTCCTTCATCCTCCAGGTACATGGCATGCTTTAAATGAATCTCTGGGAGCTTGTTCTTCATAGCAATTCGTGAAAGCTCAAACGCAAAGTCGAATGCACTAAAACAATCAAATCATTTTGAACAAAAGTACATATTGTTCAGGCTATAAAAAGAAATGTTTCAAGACAAAAAGTTTATTCTCCAGTCAACTTTCATTATCTTGATATCCCATAACTACACATTTTGTCTGCCATTTATAGAATTTATCAAGCTATGTAAGTTTCTTGACAATAATTTGGTTATCTTTAAAAATTCAAACATCATAACATCTCACCAATTTTCTGCAGCATAATCTATTGCAGCCTCCAGTAAACCAAACTTGTTGAGAAGTTTCACAGCAGAGTCTCCACCAAGACTCTTAGCCCACAAGTAAGCTACTTGTTTAGAAGCTGTCTGTCCACCGTGGGCTTTAGCCACCTGTTATAAAATAAAATCAATTTAGTGAAAAATTCTGAAGAATCAAGTTTTAATCTAAATAGGTCATGTTAAATGTACTACATGTAATATTTTGTTTCTGCCCTCCATTACTTAAGATGTTAAAGAAGAAATTATTTGTTTGAGAAATTATTGACATTTTTCAATTTCTTTGAAGACAACTTTCATAATCATGCCAAAGTCAAAGGAGATATCATAAAACTATTAACAATCTATGGGAGCATTTGCATATTTCCAGAAGCAAATGTAACAAAAGTTATAGTAAAGTAAGGAAGTATTTTAAGAGTGTACCCTGTGTGCCTCATCCCACATATCTTGTGATCTGTACATGTTGACAGCAGCCTTCCAATCTCCAGCTTCACAATAATAATGTTCTGCTTGTCTCAGATTATTGTCAGTCTCACATTCCTGCAACAATGCAACAACGTGTAAAGGTACACAAAATCTCTTCTATAATAAACATAGTTCTAAGGATAAGTAATTGTTGATCTAAATAGAGAGGGATACAATTTACTTTGAAAATTACAAATTATCAACAGAAAAAAAATCTAACCTTCTTTGCAGAACAGGATCAGATATACTAGATACATTAAATATATAAATATCCTTTATAAATACTTATTTTCCCCCATTGAGTTTAATGTAATATTAACACTGCAACAGTCATATATGCATATGGTGAAAGTTAACTGGTGAATGAAAACTGCTCTAGATGTTCCTCAGTGTGTAATCAATAATTTCAGGCACTGAAAGGCACCTGCTTAGCTCCACTGACATTTAGATTCCTCTCTTGGGACAATTAATCCACCCTGATTCAATGCTTGTGATATACAAGTTATAGTTTACCTTAGCCAAGTGGAGATATGTATCTTGAATTAGGTCCTTATGATGCACTTTAACAAGGCGAATCATGTCATTGTACATTTTCTGCTTCTTGTACATAGAGATAGCAAGATCTGGTTCCTTCACAGCAACAAACAACCTGTAAATATTTCAACATTTTACACATTTATTTTCTATCAAATTTTCAAAATATATGGTATTTTTGAACTAATAACAATATTGTAACTACAGTAAAAACCCGTTTTGCAACCACCTTGATTTTGACACCAACCCACTAATAAGAATGATTTATTTTTTTAAGACCCATTTTTTTTTCTTCTTTATTTCAAAGGTTGCCAACCACAATATCGAGGCCACCCTGTCATTCCATAATATGACAAGTTATTTCAGTCGCGTTTCGTTAGTCAGGTACATTTGTTAACCCCTAAATACAACCACAGTCACTTTCTCACCTTGATATTTATGTGCATGTTATAAAGGGATATTCCAAGTTTCATGTAGATAACTTTATAAAATGTCTGAATACTAGGCTGGATAGAAGTTTTTGCCCAATGACAACACTACAGCAATCATAATAGCTCAACTTTTTCTTTGAAACAAAGGAGCTAAAAATGCTATTTCATTGAAAAAATAACTGAATCAATGGTGTAATATTTACTTTTCTGCCTCCTTAAATTTGCCTTGATCTTCTAGCTGCCTGGCCTGAGATATATATAGTGAGGAAACATCATCTGACTTCATGTATGTCGAGGCCATCTATATATAAAACATAGAATATTAATTATATGAAAACAAACAAACAAACATTTCACAGATAAAAATCCGAAAATGATCATTTGAAAAGTGGTTTTGGTAGCCTTATAAAAGAAAATGGCAATAGTACTATGCAAATATTACATTATTTAGGAGAGATCTTGTGGAACTTGGCAAGTGTCAGATGGTGTCAATGTTAAAATTGTCATTGTTACTTACTTTCTGACTGAACCCAAAATAAATATTATGGAATTTTATATTACATTTATTTTGCATCAAACATGGTAATAATCCTTCTAACTGGTAACTAACAACTCTTAGTATGATCTGCGTAAAAATTACAACTTAAAATCTTCTTACATGAAGACAGAGGAATAGACAAGAAGTGTATCCTACCTTATGAGCCTGTTCCCATTTACCAGCTTGGTTGTACATATCAACAACCTCTCTAGTACAGCCAGCCTCTACATACAGTTTCTCTGCAGTCTAGAAATATAAAACATTATAGAATATTCTATACAAACACTATCAAATACAAGGTAAAAATGTAAACTATGTTTAGTTTATATAAATTTATTAAGTCTGATTGTGTTGGAAGCTATTAACTTAATGAAACATTTTCAAATCCATTCCTGGAACCAACCAGTACTAAGCAATGAATGTAAACTCTCTTGCTCAAGAGAACATGGACTATGTTTATCAAGTTCGTATGCCAAGAAGAAATACATATAGTTAAAATGATCATAACAAAACACTTGCCTTCTCGTATTTACTGTGTTATATAAAATATGAAAATTTTCCCTTCTAACTGACTTGCAATATTATAGTATCACATCAATAAATAATTCATACTATTTCATGTATATTACCTGTCAGGGATGAAACAAGAGGGCCATGATGGCCCTGAAGTCGCTCACCTGTATATAGCCCGCCCCCCCGGCAGGGCCGATTTTAACCCAAGGGCTTTCATTTGAACAAACTTGGTAGACACCCATAAGAAGATGTTTCATGCTAAACATCTTAGCTCTAGCTCATTGGGTTTCTTAAAAGAAGATTTTTAAAGTTTTTACTATACACATATAGTTAATAAATGACACCCCTGGGGCGGGGCCAGTTTTGACCCCAGGGCTTTTATTTGAACAAACTTTGTAGACACTTACAAGAAGATGTTTCATACTTAATACCTAAACTCTAGCTATTTGGGTTTTTTCAAAGAAGATTTTTAAGATTTTGCTTTACACATATAAGGAAAATCAATGACCCCCAGGGCGGGGCCAATTTTTACGTTAGGGCTTTTATTTGAACATACTTGGTAGACACCCAGTAGAACATGTTTCATGCTAAATATCTTAGCTCTAGCTCTTTGAGTTCTTTAAAAGAAGATTTTTTAAGTTTTTACTATATGCATATAAGGAAAATCAATGACCCCCTGGGGCGGGGCCAATTTTGACCCCAGGGCTTTTATTTGAACAAACTTGGTAGACACTCATTAGAAGATGTTTCATGCTAAATATCTTAGCTCTAACTCTTTGGGTTCTTTAAAAGAAGATTTTTTAAGTTTTTACTATATGCATAAAGGGAAAATCAATGACCCCCTGGGGCGGGGCCAATTTTGACCCCGGGGCTTTTATTTGAACAAACTTGGTAGACACTCACTAGAAGATGTTTCATGTCAAATATCTAAGCTCTAGCTCATTGGGTTTCTTAAAAGAAGATTTTTTAAGTTTTTACTATACACATATAGATAATAAATGACACCCCTGGGGTGGGCCAGTTTTGACCCCAGGGCTTTTATTTGAACAAACTTTGTAGACACTTACTAGCAGATGTTTCATGCTTAATATCTAAACTCTAGCTATTTGGGTTTTTTCAAAGAAGATTTTTAAGTTTTTACTATATGCATATAGGGAAAATCAATGACCCCCTGGGGCGGGGCCAATTTTGACCCCAGGGCTTTTATTTGAACAAACTTGGCAGACATTCATTAGAAGATGTTTCATGCTACATATCTTAGCTCTAGCTCTTTGGGTTCTTTAAAAGAAGATTTTTTAAGTTTTTTCTTTCAGTTGCATATAGGGAAAATCAATGACCCCCTGGGGCGGGGCCAATTTTGACTCCAGGGCTTTTATTTGAACAAACTTGGTAGACATCCATTAGAACATGTTTCATGCCAAATATCTAAGCTCTAGCTCTTATGGTTTTTTAAAAGAAGATATTTTAAGTTTTTTAAGTTCTGCATGGAATTAAATTCTTTGAACAATTTTTAAAGGTGACCACCAAAGGAACATTCCTGTGAAGTTTGGATGAAATTGGCTTAGTGGTTTATGAGGAGATGTCATTTAAAGTAAAAGTTTACGGACAGACGGACGACGGAAGAAAAGCGATCACAAAAGCTCACCCTGTCACTTTGTGACAGGTGAGCTAAAAAACAAAACAATCAAAGAATAAATTTGGATATCATATTAAACAAATGAATTGTAACAAAGAAGCCCATTTATATACATGATAACTTCTTACTAAATTGTCCATTGCCGTTTTGTTTTAAAGATGTACATCATTATTTAGCATCATTTACACACAGATTACACATGTATACAATGTTGGTTATTTTTACCTCATACTCCCCAACAGAAGCATAATGATCTGCAATTTTCTTGTAGTATTTGGAGGCGAGGGAGGAATCTTGTAGCTCAAGTATCTGGACAGCCTTAGCCCATTGCCTTGAGTTGATAGCAGCATCTACAGCCTTAGATATAGCTCTGTCAACAAAATTGATTTTTATTCATTTTGCTTAAATCTCATAGTTCTCAATAAAAATAATTAAGCAATTACTTCAAATTCTTAATCGTTCAAAACAATTGTAATTGAAAAGTTATCGAAGTTTTTGTTTTCAAACTTTAAAAACCACAAAAAAATAAATCATGTGTTTTTAGTGAAATCTTAATCATGTGAAAACATCTTAATTACAAAATTTCTTTAATTTTTAAAATGATGTACCAAACCTTACCAGACCAGACTCTATACTTTTGCTGCTCAATAATTTGTATTTTGTTAATGAACTCCCTTATACTTCGAATAGACTATTCCAAATTATTAGCTGGGCAAAACCATAACACAAATTGAGCATTTTAAAGGTTTATCACAGATTTTAAGGCTGTAAAGAGTTACATACCCTGCTTCAATGAAATGATTGATGGCAGCATCAAGTTGTTTCTGTGTTACGAGATAATCTCCCCATTCTTCCTCCAGTTTCACAACATCTTGTGGGAAAGCATATCTTGCCAATTCCACAGCTGGTAGAAGACAAATCCAAATACAATTATATGAATCAGTTTAAGATATTTACATCGAAATTCTAAAATTGCCAGCAGTAATCATATTTAATAGGCCCAGTTAAAGAACCGAGTCGATAACAGTTTCAAAATAAAACATATAAGTTACTTCATTTCATTTATACTGACTTGATGTCTACAGTCTGAACTTTTACACTGACTAGATTCCAAAAGTCTAAACTTTCTAATCATCTAGATGCCTTAAGTCTAAGCTTGTACAGCAACATCATAGAAGATTAAAATTAGAGTCAGTACAAACCTCTCCTATAAGCTTTGCCCTTCTTAAAGCAGCCCATAGCCTGTGTATAATCTCTTATCTTCTCATACATATCTCCAGCCTGAAACAGTTAAAACATACACTACATTACCTTCTTACATTCTATGTTACTTTTAAACTTTTACCAAGCTTGTTAAGTACCAAACTTTTATATACATTTGTATCAATATCATAATGTGATCAGAATAATTATTTGTTTTCATTAAGATTTTTTTATCTAATTTTTTGATACATTTTCTTTAGAGAACAGGTAAATCCTTATGTAAATGTTCAGGAAGGATCATTCATTTAAAAGTAAATGTATAAATCATCTTTACCCGTTCATAAAGTTCTCCCTTGATCAAAGCTGAAGCTATCCTGCTAATAAGATCTGTGTTAGACATCAGTTCCTGAAATACAACAGTATCATGTTATTACATCTTAAATAATCATGCACATGGACAGAGAATTTCCAATAACCATTCAATATTTAGTATCAATCATCTAAAGCAAAGACTAACAACTATCAAAATTGTTGGATTTATAAATATCATTCTCATGGAATACAGTGAGTGTTTTTATTTTTTATTTTCATGACAGAAAAAGATTCAAATGAGTTGGGGGAAGCATTAACATTTCAAATAGAATTAAAGCCTTGTAAATTTTCTAATAATGAATGTTGAATAAAAAGGAATATTGTTAAGAATGTGATATATACATCTCTGCTTGTTGCCAGCCTGGCTGCTCTTGCTGGTAATCCAGCTTTCATGTACAGGTTGATGGCTGCTAAATAATCTCCCTCTCTCTCCTTAACCTATAATAAACAAACAAAGTAACTTTAGATCATATTATCTCCATACATGTATAATATAATTCAATTTAATAAAACAGTTACATAAAAACTTTAGTTAATGTTTAAACTCATTTTGTATTGTCAAAATATTTCCTTTTTCATTTCTTATTTTGTCTGTAACACTGCTCTTTCCTCAATACTTTGGTCAATTTATTCCTTTTCTTTCCTCTGTCAAAACTGTCTCTTTCTAAAACTAATTTCAACATTCCTTTTACTATTTATCTATGAGTGAATATTTTCCTTATTTGTTTTCCTTATTATGCTTGTATTTTACCTATAACATTTTACTTTATGTTGTTCACTGGCATTTATATATACATATATTATAAATTTGAACATAAAAATATAATGCAAATGATAAGAGAATGTTTACCTCTCCAGCAGTCTCTTCTTGTCCAGTCTCCATCAACCATTGATAATAGTTCCTTCTTAATGTCTCTAACTCAGGATGACTCTATAATAAAACATATTTACATGTAATGCAGTTCTATTTCTTATTTTTTCTGTTAAGAGTTGGCAGCATATTAATTTAAGTGCCACTATAAAAACTATAGAGCAGATACAAAATACTCAAAGAAATAGTTAAAGAAACTTAAAGAATATCATCAGCATAAAGTACTTTTCTTATCCAATACATACTACTGAAAACATACAAAAAAAGTTAATGCTTAAATTTTTTAGTATTGCTGGGGGAAATTATTTTTTATATCAAAATGTTTCATTTTCAATTCATATCTTTGTATTAGAATACTTATTTTCAATTAATACTCAATTGACAATTTAAATGCTGTATTACCTTAGCCTCAGCCACTTCAATAGCTTCATCCCACATGTGCATTTCCTGGTACATCTCCATAGCCTCATCTACATGATTCTAATACAAAAAAAAATAACAAAGAGGCAATGTTAATCTATTATCAATCTATTGGATATAACCATATTAATATGGACTTGTGACATACATAATAATAAGTAGCAAATATTCAAAGTTTGAACTAAATCCTTAAAGTAAAATAGAAGATAGAGTTCTTAAGTATTTTCAATAACTAAGGAGATGATAAATCTCTGTACAGTTTTTATTGTCCAGCTCAAAATTATTGCAATGAAAGTAAATGATTTTTTAAACATCTGTTTAAGTGAGTCACTCTGATTATATAGTGCTTTTACACAAAGAAGTTGTACAATACCAAGTATCTTATAAAAATGTTGGACATTTTGACAATTATCCACATGAATTCTGAACAACATTAATGTCATGATATACATGTGGTTTCTGTACACAAACATTACATCATAAATATAATGATAAAAATTTTAACCTGCTCTAAGTATATACTCTCAGCTTCCTTGAATCTTTTCTCCATGATGGCCATTCTAGCACGGACACGGTAGTTATTAAACCCATCACCTCCAGTGTTCTTTGCCACTTCTTCAGCAATACGGAATGTCTCCTTCATAAATCTCGCCTTTGCTACATCACCCAAAGCAGCGTAACATCTGAAAATCATATATACATTATTTTTTTTGGCAACATGTACATAGGACTTTGTCTGGTGGTCAGCCAAGCAACAAAGTTACAGAATATAAGTTCATTAAGAAATAACTTTATAATGTTAAACTGAATCAGTTTAATTCAAATAAATCCTTTGTATTTTTAAAAAAACAACAACAACAAAAAACAAACAAAACAAACAAAACTTTTTTTACCAAGTTATGATATATTGCATGTAACTACCAAATAACAGCAGCAACAAATCAATCTTGAACATGTAATATATAATACCTTTCAGCAATATGAAGTTGCCTATCCTCCATTGCTAATTTACTCAAAGTTTTCCACATGGCTTCAGTCTCTGCTGACATCTCCAGAGTTTCCAGGAAAGCTACAGCCCTGTATAAATATATATATCAAAATTTGATCGAAACGGATCATAATGTTTAAAGATTCTGTAACATTTTATTATCTTTCTACTTTCATTGTGCAGTTATTTCAATGATCATAAACACTTAAATACTTAAGACTGATTGCTGTTGATATCTTTAATCATATTTCCTTTTCTAAATTAGAGACGATTCCTGCCATCACTAATATACTAAACATATCTATTTAAGAAATAATATATCCCAAACTGTGATTTTATTGCTCAATAACATCACTGTTTGGAGTTGGGATGCGGGGAATTATATCACGAGGGCGTAGCCCGAGTGATATAATGATGCGCATCCGAACGACAAACAGTGATGTTATCAAGCAATAAAATCACAGATTTGGATATATTATTTTGATTCTAACACGACATCAACAAATAAATGCTACCGTACATTATAATTAGCTTAATTGCGCCTGATTTGTTTCCGTACTTATTGTCAGCGCGTCACATTTTTTGTGGTTACGTCACGTGTATAATGATTACGTCACATGTCTAAATATAGAACGTCAAAACAGTGATTTTATAGCATACTAACACACACTTTCGGTTCTTCTATGTTCAATAGGGAAAAATGCGGGTCGTGTTAGAATGACTAGTAAATATCAAACTCCTGTTTATATAAATTGGACTGTGTAACAAATTACCTTATTTACTGTGGACTGTGTAACAAACTATTTTATGTACTATAACTATTTCAACAGTGACAAAAACCTACCGTTCTAAATCTCCATCATCAATGGCTGTGCCAAACTCAATGAGTCCTTCATCTAGAGTATATGATATGGTAGTAACACCTTCATTTACAATTACCTCAGTCTTACCATCTGTTCTCTCTAAATCCACAATCTCTCCCTGTAATTATATTTTTAAGAATGTTTCATATAAAACCCAGTCACTAATATTGTATAATGGATATGTTGAGCTTTGAAATTTAACTTTAATCATGAACTATCTGAGATTTGTATCACAAAAGAGAGCATCTTATAAAACTAGAGCTTAGGTCTCACTGCTTAGATGATAAGGTAAGCCTGGCTCTCCAATCATGGTATAGGTATGTTTTTTGTCTTTGTAGCACTCAAAAGTACAAAACACTTTGAAATGAAACTTATTTGGTTTATACAAAAGTTATTTTAAATTTGATTGTGTATGAAGCTGAAGGCTTATAGACGCACTCTCTAATCCGTTCCTGGAACCAACTAGTACTGAGCAATGAGTTTCTTGCTTAAGCAAACAACGACTTGAACCCATGCAGAAAGCAATCCTTAGATTACTTATCTTGCGTGTTACCCTGAATTCTGACTGTATTTCAACAAAACATATCAAGCAGTACAAAATATAATATTCTATATGTCACAAGCTCATGATCAGTGTATGAGTAAGAAACAAGCTGTAATACCTTTAAAGGGAACATGGTCACTCTCTCTGGAGCATCTATATTGTACCAGACACACAGATTTCCTCTATTCTGAGCCACGACGACATCACTGCCTGGTACCCACTGTACATAGGAGCAGTAACTGAGTACTGTAGACCTTTGCTGTGTCTCAACATCATACAAGTTCAACTGTGTAACATAAAACATATGTCATATGCATGTCAACAGATGTTATATGTCAGAAATCTTACATAAGATAGATTTTCCCAAAATTATTAAAGACAAATATTACTTGCTTGTACATCTATAACATTAATATAACTTTTATAGGATAGAAATAACTTTTATAGGATAGAAATAACCTGTAATCCTTACCTATATCTTATCTATATGATTTTCACGTTATTCCTAAGCGTTTATCACTATTACAAAGTTAATGACAAATTATGAAACTAAAATGTTTTATTTATTTTTCTATCTTATAAAATCTTTACCCTCAGTCTCTTGTCCCGGAACAAAAGTTTTCTTCCAGTTTCATTTAACTGAAAATAAAAAGGTGTTTTTGTTAGGTATGATTAGTTTTTCCCCACTGCACAATGATTAAATTTTACAAGTACAAATATTTTTGTGATGACAAAAGAAAAAGCATGTAATTTTCTAGTTGCAAGATATTTTATCGCTTAACCCCATTTGTTATAGTATAGTAATTGAGAAAATTCAGTCTTTGCTAATATTTCTTCCATACATCTAACAATCACTCATTGACCTATACTAGGTTGGTGTGCCATAAAACCAAACAAACAAATAACCATTGACAAATCAAATGTTTATTAAGTGTCCTATTACTACCTCTGTAATGTTAAAGTTTTAACAATATAGATATTACAATAATGCCTTACTTCAGTGTACAAGATGTCTTACCTCTAACCAGTCAATTTTAAATTCATGATTGATCTGCCCAACGTTGATCCCACTTAGTAAATCCACTGAAAATTATTAGTATTTTTATCATTTATACAATTTTGTTTAATTCTATGAAATATTGTAACATTATTATGATATATTATTTATTCAATAAATACTCTACATTTGTTTTATATTTTATATAATGAAATATATAGCTAATTTATAGCCATTTTTTCTGAACGAAAGTAAATCAGAACTTACAATTACTTAATTATCATTATCACAAGGCATATGAAGAACTTCCAGAGTACCAAAGAAAGCTAAAAAGAAGCTATTGAAAATAAGCCAGTCAAAACATGTATTTAAATTAATGGTAAAACAAAAGTTGACTTACTGATAGCAATGGTTTTCAAGTCCATGAGATAGGCAATTTTCTTGTTCTTCTCATTGCCTCTTTGTTTCCTCTCATTCAGTCTAACACTGATCAGATGTGGGTTCATAAACTCCGTTCTCACACAGCCCAATATCTCGTTCTCTCCATATTCTACCAATGTCAGCTCTCCAGCATTGAATATCATACATACCTATATAACAGATATGTAGTGAATACATGTATATCAGTAGTGTACTCATTTCTTGATGAAACACATTTCTTTTCATAAATTACATATATACCTATAAAGTTATAGAGGATTGATATATGCATATATCTCAGAAAACACTAAAACATAATATAGCTAAAATTCAAAACAGTCACAAATACACAACAGTTAACTATGTCATATTGTTAATCAAACCTGCATGATACATTTCATTCCAGGTTTTACCTGGACAACAGTAAAAGTACAAATTAATGACTAAAACTAAAATATTTGAATTCTACTTACACTTTCATTGTCAAAGTAGTATTTTTCATTTCCACCAGAACCTTGCCATGGTACCTGTCAAGTAAGGAAATGTATGTTAACTGATAATAAATCTTTAAAATCAGTCTCTATCAAATAATATATATTTGATTTTTATAGATAAAGTTTTATAGATTTTTTTTTTACATAAGTCTTTAACAAAGTTCTGAACATAACATAATTTTATGAACGCGTTTACAAATGCATGTCTTTGAAATGTTACACAGTAAGATTTTAATGAAAAGTATAAAGAATCTTTTTACACAAGCCGATGCTCTTACTATTTCTCAAACATTTCCTTACCTCACTAAGTTTATTTGACTGCAGATCACCAAGTAGCAGTGTATTAGAGGTATGTGAGACGAGGTAACGATCTTTACCCATAATCCTCACTTCATCAATCTCGTAACCGTAGTGAGATTTGAGAACGACCCGTGTATTATTGGACATGTTCTTCACGATAACTTGGTTAGGACCAACGTGTGTCATCTCGAACTTGTTCTTGTAGATTGTTCTCTTGAGACAGCAATCAAATAACTCAACCCCACCACATAGAGTTCCCTAAATAATAAATAGAACAATAAACTATCATAAATGCCAAAATTAATAAATATGCTTTCACTTAAAAATTTAGAAGAAAAGAAAAATTAAAAAAATAAAGTACAGGAACATGATGTACTTAATTTCACATATCTCAGGGTTTTTTTCTCAGGATTTTGGGAACATGACCCATACCCATGACATTGGGAATTTCAGCAATGTTTTGTTAACAATTGGGGAAAAATCCATGACTGAAAATTTGCAGTGATTAAATAGAATGCAAAGGCACTATGATCACAGTGCAGAAGCCCTTATTTTCAAAGATTTTTTATTCAATATTTTCATTTTGTTACTTTCAATAAGGAATTTTCTCCTGTGGATTGGGAAAAAAATACACTATTTTCAATTGGGAATATGACCGAATATCGACTATAAAATAAGCCCCAAAAAATCCCTGTATTTAAATTACAATGGATTAGAGCAATAACATTCCAGAAGGAAATTTATTTGAAAATATCATAGAAACTTGATGTACTTACTGCAGTGACTCTAGCTCCATCTTTTTTCCAGGCCAGTGCTGTAATTGTGTACAAGTTCCTGATATCCTTACACTTTGGTTCATCCCACATCTGACGCCTTGGACTCCAGTTTAGTACTCGCAATCTTGAAAATAAATTTAACACATATGTAAACATTTTTGCATTCTGAACGTAATGGCTTATAAAGAAAATCTGGCATAAAATTATATTCCGAAATTTCTAATAAAATATGTGTTACTGATCACAAGTATTGAGAGAAAATGAGAAAATTAATATTTGTCCATAAAAACATCACTCAGGCTTCAAATTCTTTTATAAATCCACAAGTAAAATATTTACAACCAACAGTGTTGTCTTTCGTTAAACATTTTTAGAACAACATCTAAATCAGACCATTATAAGATTTATTTTTATATTAAAAGTCATTTGAATCATATTAGAGTAATGAATATAAGGTTCTTAAAGAGAAACATAATAGACAAAGTATAACTTTACATACCTATCATAACTGCCTACAACAATAGACTGTCCACTAGGGCTACAAACAGCTACAGTAAATTCATGTTCATCATCATCTCTACTGTAATCAAAATGTTGAAAGCTACGTCCTTCACGTCCATAGGCAATAATACGTTTATCACATCCAGCTGCTACTATTGCATTCTGGGAGTAGGCGAGAGCGTATGGTGGGCAGGGATGAGTACTTATTTTACCCTACAATATATATACAGTCAAGTATTTCTACTGTTTATAACATATCATTCAAAATAAAAGCAATAAAATATTATTTTCATGCATGTAAAAAGTTGATATAAATGAATAGTTGATACAGACAAACTGGTCAATAGAGAGTGGTTTTCAAACAGAAAAAGAAGTTAACAAGTGAACTGCCAAAAAAAAAAAAAATTTCATTAAAAATTGATCGCATGGGCAACTTAAAATCCAAACTTACATTCCTATATGAAAGGTTTTATGTAATTGCAAAATCAAAACTCAATTAATGCATAAATGGCTCTATTCTATATTGACTATCAAAGTAATAAAAGGTAATAAAAGCAGCACTTAGTAATGCTTATCATTAATCAAACACTTCTTCAACATAACAACATTAGAACATAAGAAATGTACAAATATGACCAAGTGCACACTGTTTTCTCTGTTATTTGTTACCATAGAAACAAATATAATACCTGTTGATCCCCAGTTCCCTCATCATCAAAAAAGAATCGAACAATAGAACCATCAGCATGGCCAGATAGAAATCCTTTCCCTGTTGGACTGTAATGAAAAATAAATTAATACAATATTTTCTCAACATTTTGTTTATTTTATCAATAAAACACTTATTACATTACTAACATTAGATTTAGTAAAATAAGCATGATTTTCACTACAAGAACATTTTTGTACAACTTTGTTTTACATACATGTATCTATCTTGTCAAAAAAGTAAATTGCATAAGTGGTATAAGAGTAATCCGGACAAACTTTTAAAAAAATCATTATAGGGCAATAACTTTGACAAAAAATTATTGAACCTGAAAATGTTGACGATATACACAACTAGATTAGGTACTGATCATTCATGTAATGTTTGGATGGATTTGCATCAGTAGTTTTTGAGGGGTAGTCTGGACAAATTTTGTGACAGTCGGACAAAAGGATGACAGAGAAGTGATCCCTGTATGTCACCACTACTCTGTATAGGTGACACAAAAATGGCCAAGCAAGATGAAGCATGTTACATTTAACCAATAAAGAAATACCCTAAATTCAATTAACTTATAAATAGTAACTTACTTGGCAGCCAGTGAAACAACATAGGAATCTGTTCCATATATTGTTGAAGACTTGTTTGTCTTGACATTAGCAGCTCGTACCTGACAATACAAAATAAAATGTATATAAACAAGGAAAATATTCTTGTTACCTTAAATATATTAATATAAACCAGAATACGAAGAAGGCTGGTAGATAATTAATTTTTGTACAGAAACTTAATGCTGAAGTCATATGTATAATATAAACATGACCTTCATAGGTTTTAACGCAAGTTCAATGATATGAAAGATAAACAACTTTTGTCACTTTGTCATCACTCCTGCTACCCAACCACATTCCCAAATATCAAACCTATCCCAAATATCAAACCCTTCCCAAATATCAAATATTATTCAAGTAGAGTGATACATCATGCAAAAGTTCAACTGTCCTTATTACATGTACTTTTTAAAAGCTAGAAGACATATAAACAAGGAGTCAGATTCCTGACCTTTGTGCAACATGTATACTAATATATGCTGTGTATGATTTTTTAATGTTCCTAAACTTATATGTACTGGTAGGTAATATAATGTATAATGAAATTCAAACTTTAAACGAACCTTTCCGTCTGCAAGTCCAAACACTATTGGTTGATCTGGTGGCCAGATAAGACAAGTTACAGCACTCTGCTGGATAAACTTGTTACATATCACCTTTTTCTCTCCCCTGAAGAACACAAATTAAATATTACTACTAAAAGAACAAATGAATGTGAAGTTTTATTTAATATAACACTGCAATTTACCATATATAATTAAACTATAATTATTTAAGGGACCAAAGGAACTGAAATCAATTAATTTTGTTGAAATGGAGTGGGACTGGTGTATTGTTATGATTTTTAAATACACAAATTAAATAACATTTACTGATTCTTTAACAACCTACCAGTCTTCCCCTATCTTGTACACATATACAATATTATCTGTCTGTCCTATAGCAAGTTTAGTAGAGCAACCAGAAAATGCTATTCCTTTCACTGTGTAGCTTCTCTTTCCATACTAGAAATATCACAACAATATCAAAATTTAATTTCAGAGCTTATTTTAACACTTAAGTTTCAATCAAATTAGGTCTACATTTTGAATGAGTGATTTTGTAATTACTGTACAATGTGCATATGACATCTTAAGAAACTGTTGTACCAACTTTGATTTTGACTTGTTAATATACGATGTATTAATCATCTAAAAACATTTATTGCAGCTTCATCCCATCTAGAGTCAAATGATGTTAAACATTTAAAAGCAAGTTAGTATTTAGATTATGAAACTAAAAATCTTAAAAAGATTTGATGAATCAGTACTGTATCTTTCCTCCCATTTCTTGTTAAATTTTGACTTAAACACAATTCTAACTTCAAAAGTTTATCAATCATTTCATTATTTTTAAATATTAATATAAAGTTTAATAAACTTATAAACCCACCATTTATCAATTTATATCATAACTTTACAGATAGTCACATAACAGTAGCAACATTCTATATTAATATATATTTATAATTATATGAACATGCTTATTTATTTTTATATGTTTTACTATATTATAATATCTTAAATTTTTGAGTACATGCAGTCAATGAATTTAAGATTTTGAATTTACTAGCCTGAATTCCAGTTTTGAATTTATTCTACTAAATATTACTAAATTTTCTTCAAATTTTCACTGGCCCGAACTAATTTTCACTGGCCATGGACCACCGGGCCAGTGCTAAATTCGATGACTGTACATGTGACCCTACCTTCGCATCAGCTGGCTTAAGAGAGAATTTATCTCTTTTTTCACCTTGTTCATCAAACAGCAGAATTACTCTATCAGAAGTACAGACAGCAAACTTCATATTGTTTGCTGACCATGCCATGGCACAAATCTTTGCTGCCCCATCCTATAACAAAACATAAGCAATATACAGTTTGTGATTTTTCACCTTACATAATAGATGCCTATAAAAGGTCTCTTCCCAATGGAAATTATCCTTAAAATCATGCAGTTCTCCCAAAAAATCTAAACTTACACCAGCTTCTTTACTTCCCAAACTAGCAATTTCTTCCCAAAACAAGAGGCTATTTTAAGGCCTCTTCCCAATTAAGTGAGAAAATCCACTGACAGTCTTAAAACAGGGCATTTTCACCCTTTCACCATGAGCCAAAAGTAAGGCCTCATTCCAAATCCAATATAGCCAAAAAAATTAAACTGTTTCAACTTCTTTAAAATACAAATGTATAAAGTAAAACACTATGAACTTTTTAGTAATAATCTAATATGAGGTTACTAAATAAATTATTGCGTACAACTCTAAATTCTACTAAATGAATACACAGCTGTTAAATCTATATTATTGCACGAGGATGAGCCACAATCTAAGTCTGATATAGGTTTTGCAGTTGTGTACTCGTCCAATAGATTAAGTATTTTTTTATTTAAGCAGTACCATTATTAACAAGACAAATAACACAAATGCCTGTGGTCAAGAGATGCGAAGTTGAAAAATAGTTAAGGTAGATACACAAGTGAGGCTTTTTTTCTTCTTTTTGGGGAAAACACAAGAAGGCAAAAATTTTGGGAAATCTGTGTCATTAAAATTTTCATTTTGGGATAAAAAGTTAACATGAAATTTTACAAAGTTGGGAAAATAATTGCCAGCATTCAAGATGTTTAAATTCTTTAAATAAAGCTAAATAAATCTTATTTGTGCTGTTCAGCTTCCGGATAGCTATTATCTGACATCAAATACAAAAATCGGTCATTTTTTCAAATCGCTGACCTCAGATTGGGAAAAAAGAACAAAATTTAGATTGGAAATGTGATCTATATTTGGTCCCTCCAAGTGTTCAAAACCAAGACAACAACAATTACATATGTAAAATGAATTACCATGTTAAATAGCAGGTTTTGACATAATAAGTATTTAAGAATGCCCTTTAGATCTTTAATATCCTGGGACAACCAATATTCAATCAGTTAAGCTGTTTTTAGCCAATAATAAATGGAAGGGGAAATTATACTTTAAATTTATTTTAGCTATTAATGCATCTATTAACACTTATTCATTTTCAGGTTGGTAAATTTTCAACAAGTCTTGATCTTTCATAGAAATTCAATAAAAACAATATGACCCACTCGGGTTACTCCCAGGAATATTTTAACCTAAATTCAAACAGCAGGGTGATCACCATGGAAAATTTGTTAAAGATAAATCAGGGCCACTAAAAATTGTAGAAAATTTCACAATAGTCTATTCAACGATTTTCAACAGTTTTTTCAAGATTTTAAAAAACTTACACTAAATGTTATAATATATGTACAGCACACTGCATTGGTATGACTACTGTTAATGTGTATAAAAAGGCAGTTAAAGGTGTCACTTCTTAGTACGCTATTTGGGGTGCAAAATGATAAATGCATCCAATCTTGACAGCCATTTAACCTTCCCCACTTTATAATATTAGCAAATATGGAAACTTGTCTAGGTCTGCCAGCTGGTATCGCTTACAAAACAATTATTCTACAATCATCACATGAAAAAATTTGATAACAATATAAGATTTTATTAATAAGCAGGGTTCCCTCTGGGTCAAAATTAGTTTGCGCCACCAAATTCGCCAATCAGAAAAAGTTGGAGCCAATGGCTCCAAAGTTGGAGCCAATATGGAGCCAGTAATTCTGCAAGGGAGACATGCCTATCTTTAGCAGTTATATATCATTAAAATTAAAAACACATATTTATAATGTTACATTTTATTACAGCTGCACATGTTTATTATCTAAAATATAGACATAGTATTATGTGGTTTTCAAATTCCATTTGAATAAATACAATTGTGACATTATAAATGTAATCAAAAACATCATTTTAAGTTATAAGTGAGGTTTGGAGGTCCTGTTTTCCACAGTTTTGCCTATAACAGTTCTTATCACTTATTCATTCTCACTGACTGGACTGAGCCATGATCTTTCCAGCTTCTTCCTGACATTCTGGTGATCTACAGATACAAAATTAAAAAAAAAAAAAAAACATTACTGTAAATTGACTTCATCTAAAAATCAATAAGAACAAAAATGAAATAGATACTAAGTACTTTTTAACAATGAAGAATATTGTTTATTTTAATAGGTTTTGCATGTGATTAGGCATTTCAGCATTTTACATTCAGATAAGAAAATATTAACGCTGCAGTAAACGGTGGCTTTAGAATAATCATTGTGAAATCATTCTTTTAATTGTCATCCGATTTTATATTTCAAACTGTAATTATTTAAATCAGTTGACGAGCCAACTTACCTAAAGTTTAATGTTTGTCAACATCATTGACGATCTTTCATTTCTCTGATTCGCTACTAACACCATTTGACCACGTGTGTAATTATCAGTGCTCCAAGTCAGAGGATTAAAGACGTAAATTGTTCCAATTAACACATTGACACTTTTACCGAAGTGTCACACAATTGATGACATAATTGATTATACAGTTTGATAAACAAACTAATCGCGCATGACCTTTCACATTAGGGCCGCTTATGTAATTGACGCGGCCGCTTATGCTATTTAAGTGTACTAGTTGTCGGATGCTTTTATCTTACGTTGGCGCCAGTAAAATTCGCCAATTGAAGATTTTATGCGCCAGAATTAATATTTTGTCGCATTTGGCGCCATTGGCGAACCCTGAATAAGGACCCCCATGTAAAGTCTGATGAATATTTAGTGGTACATCATATAAATAAATGTTTTAAATACACCTAGGACTGAGGTAAATGGTAAAACTCTTTAGCCAATACTTTATAAAAAAAATTAACTTGCTTAGAAAAATTTTTACCACTATTTTAAACAAGTGACTATTTTGATATAGTGAAAGTTGGACAATTTATATTGTGTCACTTAAAACAAACAGTTTCTTATTGTTTTTCTGAAAACATCTGACAATTAATCAAGTGTGGCATTTCTGCAAGTTTTGAAGTTAATACAACATGTGACTTTATGCAATTTAGTCAGGCATGACATCAGTGCCACAGAATTAAGAATGTGTTTGAATTTAGGTTGTGACTGAAAATTGGTTGTTTCGGGATAGATCTACAGAGCTCCAGATAATTTTTTTGGCCAAGGGGTTTTTACCCCTCAAAATTTAGAGTGAGGGGTAAAATGCAAATTCTGAAAAACTTAAGGGGTAAAAATCTGTCAAAAAAGCATTTTGCATTTTTTATAAACAAATTAAACTTATTGTTGTGTTTGTTTGTTTGTTTATTTTCTTTTTTTAGAAAAACCTTTACAATTACAAACATAAACAAGATTTTTTTTATCTTTCCTTAAATAAATTATTTGTCTGAGAGAAAATTGTCCGTAACTGTAGACTGGGTACGAAAATATTGAGTACAAAACTGCAGGTGAATAACATGTTATTTTGTTCCAACAACTAAAGTTAAAGAAATTAAAATATATTTTTGGTTATATTGAGTATAATAGATGCCTAAACTAACTTAATACTTTGTTAACTCCTACGATGATTATCTGGCACAAATTTCATCAATAATTTCACAGGTTGATAGATCTACGGGAGTTACCTCCCTTATGTATTTCCTGCTACTTTCGTTTTTAACATGCGTTGTTGACAACAGAATTTTTAGTTTTCAATGCAATTAAATGGAAATATATTGTATTTTATGCTCAAAACATTTTCTTTCTACATATCAAATGTTTACACTTCTATTCTTTTACGCATAAATTTTGACATACGAGCGTATTTTCATTTTGTTGTGCGTAACTGTGACGCACGAATTTTGAAAGTGATGCGTATTTTAGATTTTTTATGCGTATTTTACGCTTATTCGCACGCTATCTGGAGCTCTGGATCTATTTGTTTAGAGTGAATCTCTTTAAATTGGTAAAATTGCCATTTATAAATCTGGCATTCTGCTCATGTCAAATATTTAAATTGGAATAAAACTTATATATTCTTATAAAACGACACTGACTAGCAACTGTTATGAGTGTGTCAAAGAATGAAAACTGACCTAAATATGAGTTTAGAGATAGTTTAACAATGTTTAATACCCATACTGTAACTGAAATCTCAGGAATGTCAGGTTCTGTAACACAATTTAACATATTAATCTTATTAAATTTGAATTTGGTCGGTTAATTACAAGAAGTAATTGTTAATCTTACCTGTGGGGGCAGCATAGTACGCATATGTTTGAGTTGCATACTCATTTTGCACGGTTTATGTGCAAATCCACCTAAATTTCAGATTTTCTGCTGTTCACTTTTTGGAATGTTTAGAATATCTCCGTTACAGTTAGATTCGAATTTAAAGTTTATACTTTTTCCCCGCATAAATATAAAAAAATGTAAAATATCATTTAGAGTAATATATTTTTAAATAAAATCATGAAGAAAAAATAGCTTGTATTTAATTTTTTTGGTAAAATAAAAATTCGAATATTCTGATGTTATTGTTGCTAAGTGATTGTTTACTCGTCGCACCTGTTCCTAAACGAAAGTGAAAGTAGAAAAATCTGTTCAAATAGTATCGGAGAACGGTTGGCACCAGAGCTTCATTGTCTTTTTCTTACAATCATTAAAACACTAAAAGTCATTCTACTTTGTTTTGTTTTTTTTCATCCAAACTATGAAATAACGTTTAGATGATTGTCAATACCTGCATGTATTATAATTTATAGAAAGGGACTACGAGCAAGCGAAGCTTTTGATGAATTTATTATTAAGATAAGATAAGATAATCTTTCTTTATAGTCGGTTTCATAAAAACATATAAACATTAGCTATATAAGCTATTTTCCGACATAACTGACTATCTTTTAACAATACAAACAAACAATATCTGTATAAAAGAAAATATAGAAGATCAATGTACATTTATGAAAGACTCTGTAAAACAAATAAGATTTATCAGCACATATAAATATGGGTAAGATAGCATTGAATGATTAAAAGCAAATATAACACTACATTCAAACATCACATAAAATTACATCATACAAGAAATCTATTTATGTACACAACCCTAAAATCAGAAATAGATTTTTTTTTAAATTTAAATTTTTAAAATAAATTTAAAAAAATGATTCAATTTTATTTTATTTTAATATAGTTGACCTAATGTCCAGCATCTGATAAATACTCAATCATGAAAATATGGTTGTAACTAAACGGTGCATAGAAAAACCGGAAAGCACCGGATAGCACCGAAATACCGGAAAGCACTCAAATTTCTAATAAAAACATATGAAAGCTTTATTTTATCGGTTTGAAAGTGTTACCAATCGATTTATTAGACCAAAATCTGGCAGACAAGTCATTTTCATAAATATATATTGATATTTATTACGAGTATTTAGGAAAATAGATATATCGATTGCTTTCCGGTCCTGCTAAGATACATGTACATTACCGAATAGCAATATTGTTTATCAAAGTAATACATGAAAACTTTATTTTATTGGTTTGAAAGTGATACAAATCGATTTATTAGATCAAAATCTTTCAGACAACATATTTTTATAAATATATATTGATAATTATTACGAGTATTTAGGAAAATAGATATATCGAGTGCTTTCCGGTCCTGCTAAGATACATGTACATTACCGAATAGCAATATTGTTTGTCAAAGTTATACATGAAAACATTATTTTATTGGTTTGAAAGCGTTACCAATCGATTTATTATATCAAATTCTTTCAGACAACATGTTTTTTATAATTATAATATGATTATTATTACGAGTATTTAGGAAAATACATATATCGAGTGCTTTCCGGTCCTGCTAAGTTACATGTACATTACCGAATAGCAATATTGTTTATCAAAGTAATACATGAAAACTTTATTTTATTGGTTTGAAAGTGTTACAAATCGATTTATTAGATCAAAATCTTTCAGACAACATGTTTTTATAAATATATATTGATAATTATTACGAGTATTTAGGAATATAGATATATCGAGTGCTTTCCGGTCCTGCTAAGATACATGTACATTACCGAATAGCAATATTGTTTATCCAAGTGAAAACTGTATTTTTTTTTAGTTTGAAAGTGTTTTCAATCTATTTATTAGGTGAAGATCTGTATATCATGACGTTTTTATAAATATTTTATGTTTAATTACGCGATTTTCAAAGTGTTAGAAATTGATTTATTAAAGTGAACTTATTTTATTCATGTATAATATTATGATTAGTTACACGATTTTTCAATCTTGCTCATACCATATATCATTGTATCATATTCTAATATTTTATAGGTTGTGTGAAAGACAGAAAGATGATGTGTAAAAAGTACAAAGAAGTTGTTCAAAGCATTGATCCATATTTATTATTATTATATTGTTATATTATGTGAAATAAAGAAAAACTTAAAATTTTTCGTTCAGTTATGTCTTTATTTTGACCATATTATGTGTACCGAAAAGCAATGTGGTCATCAGTGGAGGACAGTAGTTGTTGTATTGTTTATCACACGTGCTAATCCATGCTGATTTAAGACCTTGTTTATTGTAGCACCTAAAGGTGATGATTTAATCAAATTGTATACAATTATGATAATCGAATGTACCGACCTGCACATCAAAGTTGCATTAATCCGACACTGTCCTTTACATGCACACTAAATTAGATAATTAGAAATTGCAATTAATTACACACTCTTTTGATATAAAAACTAATTTTTTTAATGAAGAATTAAATTTACGGCACTCATAACGGATATATACGGAATCTCTTAGAACTTAATATCAAGGTCTTATTAAAATTTACTCTTATTTGAATAAAATTGTATATAAACCTCAACAAAATTAATCCATTACCATATTTTTTCTGTAAATGCCAGCAGTGCTATTAAATCTAAATTGGAATATCTCTTAAATAAAATATCAAAAATCATGACAATCGTTAAGACTTATCATATATGAATATAGAAATTTATAATCAACCTTATTTTTAAATGTAATCTGAAAAAGAAGAAGACATATCTGTTGATGTATTCTATATTTGAACCCATTTCATTACTTACTTACGTAATTTATGCGCGGAACCTGAAAATCAAATGGCACATATAAAAGAATATATTTTAAATATGTAAAAAGCTTTATTGATAAACAAATTGACAATATAAATCTGGATTTCTTTCGTAATATATGTTGGGCCCTTAAAAGGGCCGTTTTTATCAACAATACGTTTTGCCGGCTCGCCACGGCGAGCCGGTATTACGGTAGGATTTTACTGAGAAACAACCTAAAACTCCGAAGCTATCCAAAAATAAAATCGAAGCTTGGCTTCCAGCTTTCTACAAAATTTATCTATCAGGGCTAGGATCCAAAATTATTTAGCCAATCAAATTTAATCTTACATAGCGTCAAAAAACCTTCAATTTTCACGCCATTTTTAAAAATCAGCAAGTATTGTTTTGAGCGCAAAGATATAATGATGATTAAAATGTTTGTCTGTATGAATTCTTTTCAATAAATCATATTTACACTGACTTCTGATTTAGCGAATTCGCTTGTTTTCTCTGTAGTAAGTTTTCGTTTGGTTAATTAACATAAGTGTACATCTGGTTCTGTGCATTTTTTATTTTTCCTTTTTTTCCGGTCATTTTATCCTTTCCGGTATTTAGTGTATGTATTTACTGGCCGGGATCCGGGACGCCCGGGATCCGGGATCGTATAAGATATGGAGGAAAATCCTAATGAACTATATTTGTGTTGATTGTTGTCGTAATGAAAGGCCATTAAACGTTAATTTTTTTTATTGTATATTATGAACGTTAAATTAATTTAACTTAGAATATAGATATATTTAGAGCTATTTATTAACAAACTTAAAATGCGGAAATCACAATAGTTATAATTATATGCCTAATTAATTGGAAAAATCAAAGACTATTTTCTTGAATTGGTCAAATCCCGGGATCCATGTATGTTTTAAAAGGATCCCAGCTTTTTTGAAAACTATATACTTGAACTGGCCAATCCGTGAGATCTATTTACATTTTAATACGATCCCGGCTTTTCTGAAAACTATATTCTTGAACTGGTCAATTCCCGGGATCCCTATATGTTTTAATAGGATCCCGGCTTATCTTAAAAACATCTTCTTAGACTGGTCAATTTCTGGGATCCCTATATTTTTTAATAGGATCCCGGCTTTTCTGGCTGAATTGATTGACAACTTGTGTTTACTTTAGGACTTGTGCCTCTCATTCCAATACTAAATAACATACATGTATTACAACATAATTTGTATAAAGAGACATCTTTATGAAATCTACCTATCTAATATTTTGTGGTCAAGGTCAACAGGCCATATAGTAAATGTGCATAGACATAGGTTCTTCAATCTGTTTACATGCACCTTCATATATACTCATACTCATACTCATCTTGGTTAAACTGAGAGAACTTTATATGTCACTTTCAGTCAATGAGTTTAAGATTTTGAATTGACTGGCCCGAATTCCAGTTTTGAATTTATTCTACTAAATAATTAACAAAATTTTCTTAAATTTACACTGGCCTGAACTTATATACACTGGCCATCGGGCACCGGGCCAGTGTTGACTTCACTTTTATTTTGTTGTTCGCTGAAGTCTCTTCAGCTAACAGAACTGTCATTTTTACATTTAAACACACCCCTTGAAAAAAATTACGAAGCGAGTCGCTACTAGCTTTTTTAAAAGCTAACCTTGTATGTTTTTAAGCTACACAAAACTCTGCGTAGTTTGCACTGATATTTGTGCATGCCGTTGTTTCTCGGTGTTTTACCCTCTAGATGCACGAGATCTCGCGCATAGTTCTCCAGGAAATTTTATGTTAGGAAATCTCAAGAAATTGTTTTTGAAAGTTTTTGCCAAAAGCTTATTTATTTGTACCCGTCAAAACATTTTTTGGTTAGCCCCGGACACTTGGAAAAATCACCACGTTACGGTCACATGCTACAAAGGCTATAGTCTAGCCCATACTCGAACTGAAATGGATTTACCATAATATAATATGCATTGATATTGATATTAAATAAAAAAATCTAGGGGTCTGCCTATGTACATATATTGTAGTTTTTTGTGTATATAATATAGAGATAGTTATTTGTTGATTTTGTTTCGAACACATCACTGTTTGTAGAATACGAGGGTTGTTCAAAAAGTAATAGGACTGGGAGTCTTGCGTATTCAACTTTTATTCAATTTAGAATATTTTCATATGTACAGCAATCGTAAAATGTTTTCTACAAATCAAACATAATTGTTTTAATCTATTGTGCTAAACGCGCTTTTCCTTTG